CCATTAGAAGAATTCTCTGGTCCTCCTTGACTAGTTTGGATTTATAACTGGTAGATATGCAGGTGATAATACCTGAAGAGCCATCAACTTATAGATCTTGCAAACACCCATAAGCTTACCTTGATATTCCTTTGTCTAGTTGCCAAGAAGACTTTTGATATATTGGCAGTCATTTTATGTTCTCTACTCTGGATTTCATGGGCTTTGCCGGAGGATTTATGAAAGCTTCAGGACTATACTTCACCCTTACCACCATCAGAATCCCATTCTGTAATCACTACGCTTTTAAAATCTCTAATGGCACTCCACACCAGGGCTGTCCTCTTTTGCTCCTATTGTTTGCTCTTTTTATTGAGCCTCTGGCAGCCATAATACATCCTAATGTGAATATAGTATCACCATTAAATATTCTCAACATAAAAATCTCCTTTTTTATTCATGATGTCTTATTGGAAAAGATTTATTAAAACTGGGGCATTCAGAATCTGGTGCAGCTGTGCATGGTAGCCAATCAGTTTCTAACTTCAGCTTGTTCAATTAAGCTTTGGCAATAAAACCTGGAAGTTGACTGGTTTCTATGCAGTAACACCAGATTTTTCACCCTCCAGTTTTAGTAAATAACCCCCATTGTCTCTTACACAGCCCCACATCTCTCTTCCTAACCTACAACGGGATATACTTCAATTTGGCCTCTTTTTGGATTATAAGGTGCATGAGGATAGGTCAAAAACACTACCTATGCATTCAAGGGGCCCAAAAATTAAATACAACTTTCCCTTTAGGTAAGAGGGAGACTCCATTAAGTGCCTGGGGACTTATATTACATCCTAATATAGCAACTATAGTCGACTCCTTTGCCGTTTTTTGGGTTGGAAGGATGATTTCCTGTAGAATTAATATATTTTCTCTCTTTATGGTTTGCTCTTCTAACTTACAGTCATTGCAACAAACCAAGTACAAGTTTATCTGGCATTGGAGAAGATCTAGGATAGGCCACACCTCTCAAGGAGGTCTCTCAGTCCCCAATCTATCTGGGTACTATTATGAAACCCACTTGCATCAGATAACTGGCTGGTCTGAAAGCCCTAAGCTCATTGGGCACAAATTTAATTTCCACCTCTCTTCCACTTAAATTGAAGACTATGCTAATCTCATATAATATTTGGTACTATAGTGTTAAGACATTGGCATCTCTGTTCTACCTCCTCTATTTGCACTCCAATAGTGCAATCCTCAAATTTACTCACTAACCTATGTATTACGCACCATTTACGCTGGGAGTCACAGGGCATTTACTTTGTAAAGATATACTTTGTCCTATTTCGATCTCCCTTCTGGACTTTAAATCTCTTAAGGAAAAACACTCCCTATCAAATGAATGGACCTCATATACAGCTTAGCCGTTACCTATTGTCACTCTCCAACTCTGACTTTTCCAGGGCATTCTTTGAAAAACAATGCTTACAGGGTTCTATACAAAAAGGACTGATTTCACAGATTTATAAACATCCTGCTGCAATACCAGATTCCACTACTCATTCCCTTTGTCATGCATCCATGAACTATTGAGAAAAGGCGTTTTAATCTACTCTATCATCTGAGGGTGTGTCCGACCTGGTAAAATGCTACCTTTCACTTCTATCTGTAATCTCACAAGAGAGAATATTTAGAAAAATATGATTAAAATGGTACCAATGCCCATGATTTGGGACTCTGTTACTAAGACCTCTCGTTTTGTTGTGTACAAAGAAAATTTATATAAGATATTGATGCATTGGTACAAGACCCCTGTAATCTTAATGTGTCTGACAGGTGTCTGACAGGTGCAAGGAGAGGCAGGAGTGGGCACCTTGGCACACATGTTTTGGTTTTGTCCACAGATTGCTGGTTATTGGGCTATGGTTAAGACGGTCTTAGAGCAAGTGCCTAATGTTAACCTTCCCCTAGATCCACTACACTACCTTTTGGGGCTACCCTTTAGGGGTATTTCTAAGCAGTCTAAGAGGCTGGGAATGCATATTCTGTCGACTGCTAGACAGGTAATACCATGACATTGGAAATCAGTCAATATCCCCACACTAAACCATCTCTTAAGAGCGATTTCTCTAATCAGAGAAATGAAATATCTTACAACTCTAGTGGGCGATTACTCAGGTCATTTCCAATCTATTCGGGAACCATGGGATCATTCTCCCTGTAGTAGACTTTCTTCCTCTCCTCCCCCTTATATAGTTCAGACACTTCTCTACTTGCTAAGCTTTAAATAAATAAAAAAATGTACAATATTAAAAAAATGATACAGGACACCAATTAGGCTTCATAATAGCGACCGAGACACATCTTTCCCCATGTTGGAGAAGCAGTGGTCAGGATGGATTATTGAGTCACATTTTTTATTTTGCCCTATTGTCCAAAAATATTGGACTATGGGTACCACTGCTGGTAAGGCAACTGTCAGTGGGTAGTTGTACCTATCGGTATCCAATAATAGCAAATAAAAATAATTTTAATGGATGAACCTTACAGTATCAACTATTGTGTGCTTATTGGCTAAACTCTAAAATCATAGGAATACTAGATTTAAAACTAATGATAGCAAATGCTTTAATGGCTAAAGTAAATTAATGCAATATTTTGGTACATAGTTTCTCACCCTGAGTATGAAATGAAATCGACTATATGTAATCACTGCTGGGGGAAGCAATCACAATTGAAGCATTCAGCATACTTCTGAGCTGGGAAATGAAGTGGGGAAGGTGGTATTAAAATGATCAGGTAATGGATATATTACAAAATGTTTTCTAGTAGAAACAGTTTAGAAAATGACATCATAAAAAACACACATACACACAAAGAGAAAAAGGTCTCTTAAAGTGTATTTTTACAAAATGCAAGTATAACCAAATTTCAGTAGTCAGGCTACTTTATAGTAAAAAAAAACAAACATTTATGGGTACAAAGTGATTATTTACAGCGCCAGATCCATTTATTGGTTTTCTATTTACCATATGCATAAAATATAAAATACAGGCAAGTATAAAGTTATAGTTTACATTTTCTTATTCTAACATCGTAGAAAAGCAGTGAAAATATTTGTGCACACTACAAACATCAATACATTGTCACTGTCACATTGTAACATTAAAATTCCTTATTGCGCAGAAGACAGCAACACATTTTTATGTGGGGGTTGGACACCTACATTTTTTTTTTTTATTGTATGCATAGGTAGGTGATATTTCTCTCAAAAAGTTTGGTTTTCTTGTATTCTATAAGAAGTTCCATAGGGTGTTAAAAGTAATCTGGGTGTTTAAAGTGGAACTAAAGTCTCTCAATCAACATTAAATATTTTTAATTCCTTATGCTTCTAGCCTTAGAAAATAGATAGGAAGTTATGTTACATTTACTTCCTTTAAACTTTTTTTTTTCCAGGTGCTTCCTGGCTTCTCGCCTAGGCTGAAATGATGTCATACACGCCCAGAGTCTTCATGGGCATTTTTTTTTTAATTAGATCTAGGGTTTTCTCGCCTAAGCACTCCCTCCTACCTACATGCCTAAGCTAAGGACAGATGAATACCAGGAAGTAAATGCTACATGAATCATCTGCCCTTTCTCAAGATGCCAGGGCCAGAAATGCTAGGGGGTGTTTTTCTAGATCGTTTCTCAACAAAATAAAGAATGGAGCCATGGATGGGCAAGTTTGCTTGAATATTAAAAATTAAATAGCGTTTTCAGTTTATGGTACTCAGATAGTTTAGTTCCGCTTTAAGTACTTTATATTTTACAAATTATACTATTTTCTCATTTGGCTGCTGACTTTTACAAAACACAGAGACTCACCTGTCCCTCAATCTCACGATCTCCTCACACCGGCCACTGGCCGCCCTGTGTCCCCTGCACTGGCATCTACAGTGTGTACACCCAGCTGTGACATATCGTGCCTCCACAGACTGGTACCCACTGCACATGCGCAAGTAGCGCTGTGCTTTGTGAATGGTTCTGCAGTCTTCGAGGGGGGTAGGACAACTTCCCTTTCCGATTGCCTAGGTGACTACAGCGGAAGTGGGAGCAGGTACAGGTCAAATTTTGGTACCCCCCGCTCCCCCAAAGGTGCTAAACCTTAAACGGGGAGTGGGGGACAAAGCCTTAAAGTGGAACTTCCCCTTTTGGGTTTAGCTCCGCTTCAAGGCACTGACACATCATTCACCCTTTTTGAAAAAGAATGCAGGACCTATGAGATAGAGTGAGACAAAGCACCTGTATGTATTATGCTCCTGATATGTCAATGCTTGCACAACCAAACAAGCATCTGACCATGTAAAAGCCCTACTCAATGTCCAAACTGGGCTCCCATGTGTGTGATGTATGCATAAATCTCAGCAAGATTTACTAGATGCCATATGAGCCATTTCTCAGTTAAGTTATTTACAAAAACAAAGTTATTAGGGATTTACATCTTGTAAAGTGATGGGGGACAGTGTGCATTTGTTTACCTAATATTGATAAGTAGTAATTGCAAATTTTGCATCATAGCTGCCAGGAAAGCAGCCAGAAATGATCTTCAATGCATCAAACAGTGTCACTACCATTTTCTACCAAGTATAGGATCTGAAAATCAATACACACAAAACAAAAAAAAAAATGTAGCGGGTTCAGTACTTTCTGGGACACCCACCTGGAACAAGCATGTGCTCCAGGACTTCTGACTTTCCTGATCTTCATCTCAAAGTACTGCATTCGGAGACAGATATTCAACTTGCATTTTCAGATGAGCAATATATGCCTTCATACTTCTCAGTGAAGTTTCTTGTAACTTTACATTTAGCATCCAGCTGCATTTAGGCACAGCAGTGTATAACTACTTATACAATAAGTATATAAGTTTACACCACTCTTAAGTTATTGTCCAGGTCAGCTGTGACACTTATTGTCTTTCAAATTCAAATGTGTCGCTGTTGTGATAAAGAGCAGAACCTAATAAAACCAGTGGATAATAGTATTCACACTCCTGTGACACTCATATAAATTATTTCAATAATGGTACTTTCAACTCGCTGACAGAGCTGTACATCTGGATCTACACTCTCTGCCTCTTTGGCAGATACAGACAGTGTGGAAAGGTAAAACGTGCTAGGTAGCTCTTTTGGTTTTTCTTTAAGTTGCTGCAGACCTGTTTAGTAAAACACAAAAATAGAAACAAATAAAATAATGTGATAGACTTACTAGAATTATGTCAATTTATGTATACACACACCGCTAACATGTTCACAACTATATAATAAATTGTAACATAAATTCCAATTCTTAACTTTAAAAGTTCCCGTGCTTGAAAAGTGTCCAAAACCCGACAAACAAAAGTGCTTCATGCTACACAACTTTGCTCTCAGTACTACACACCTTATCATATCCTTCACCTCCACACTGTAAAACTCACCAGATTTCCATGACACTGTATCATAATAACATAGGATTATGCTATTTTACAATGCACAATTAGTTACAACGTAAAGTTTATACATATGTAAAAGCCGATAACAACTAATCCACATACCTTTATAAATCACCTCCCAGTGCCTTAAATAAAGAGGTCTTATTCTAAAGTGGGATCTCTACAGAGTGCATCAACTCACAGCAACCAGATTCCCTTTGCTAAAGTTATGCCCATACAGGACAGGTTGCGATTGGTTAAAGTGTTACTAAACCCACAACAGTAAAATCAGTTTGTATATGCAGCAAAGCATGCTTGTTATACTCACTGTGGAACCCAAGGGATTAATCCTCTGCATTGTGTAAAAAGGATGTTTGATCCTGTCTTCTCTGATCCTCCCCTTCAACATTCCCATTTCATCTCATGATAAAACAGAGCCTCTGGGACACAGTGCACATGCTCAGTTTGGTGTGTACTGCTAGAGAGTTTTTTTACATTTCTTGGGAGGGTGCATGTGATCAGCACAGGGCCAATCAGCACTTTCCAGACAGAGGGTCAGGGGTTATGCAGCTTCATAGGACATGTGCTTGGCTGGACACTGACAGAAAACACTGCTGATGAGAAATGGTATTTCAGTTTATATTTACTACAATAGTTGCATTTCCATGTTCTGTGTACTGTGGGAAACCAGATATAGTGAATGTAGGGTCCTGGGTTTAGTAACACTTTAAGGATTGATTAATTTAAACTGGAACTTCACTCTCTCAATCAACATTGACTATTTTCAATCCTTATATGCTGATAGCATTAGTACATAGATAGGCATGTATCTCATATTTACTTGTTCTAAACAATTTTTTTTTGTTTATTCAGCTACTTCCTGGTTTCTTTTCTAGGCAAATAATGCCATATATCCCAGGAGTATTTTTAAGGGGAGTAGACGTTTTCTTAGCCAAGTACGCCCTCCTGCTTGTATGCCTAAACTAAGAGCAGATGAATTCCAAGAAGTCAATTCTACATGAATCATCTACCCTCACTCAAGATGGCTACGGCCAGAAATGCTAGGGATGTTTTTCAAAATTATATCTCAATAAAATAAAGCATGGAAACATGGATGGATGGGGGAGTTTGCTTTGAATATTAAAAATGAATTAAATAGAATTTTTGCTTTGTGGTGCTCAGATGCAGTGTAGCTCCGCTTTAAAGATAAGAACTCTCTATTGAATAAAGCCGGCGAGGTCAACAGAGACTGGCCAAATTTCGATCTGTGTATGAGCAGGCTGGTTGTACACAAGTTGATCTATCGATATCGGGTCATTTATATATCTCATTAACAACTTCCAACCCGGCCACTGTACATATACAGCCAAACAGGACAAATGCCATTGTCGGATGTGCCAGTATGTCCCGCCAGAAGCGCACCCCTTCTGCGATCCTTAGGGGCATGCAACAATACAATCTGTGACTGCTGTGTCCACTGGACACAGAAAATCACATATCAGGGTACAAAGCAGCTGTGATTGGCCCTGGTACCACGTGATTGCTGTGACCAATCACAGTGATCACATTATCAGTTTTAAACAATGGCTGTCATTCATGATGCCATTGTATACTACTTTACTACTCTGATCTCTGTGATTGGTCGCAGTGATCATATGGCCAATCACAGTGGCCCTGTACGATGTGATAGCTGTGCCCAACCATAACTATTATAGTAGTAATCAGTGGCTACATGAATGTAGCTGAGCAGTGTAAAAATGACTGCTCATGCAGACCGTACGAGTGCCCCATAGCAAGGCTTGCTATGGGGTGCACTCGGCAAGGGGGAGCATCCAGATACAGCAGTGGGAGACCCAAGAAGAGGAGGATCAGGGCTGATCTCTGCAAGACCATTGCACAGAGCAGGTATGTATAATGTTTGTTATTTTTTTATTTATTATTTTATTTATTAAATAATAAAAAAATAAAAAAATAATAAATAAAATTAGGTTTACAATCACTTTGATACTCAGAGAAACAATACAAAGAAAGACTGCAGTTTTGAATGCTCTAATTGGAAACAGGGTTATGGGACCTGAGATTTAGGTCACAGCTAGAAGTATCTAGTTGTGACCAACATCTCAGGTCCCATAACCCTGTTCCCCTCTTACATTTATTTTTATACTCATGGGTTCGCAGGTACTCTAAGTATTTACCTTCACACTAACTCTATGTAATCATCCATGTTTGCCTTTCTTTGTTGTATAATATTGATATACTATGTTACACTTATTGTATCAAGACCATTGATTTTAAAAAAATATAAAATAAAGAATTTATCAGAAAACAAAAATACTGTAACAGTACTAGCCACTGGTGCATTCCTTTTTTGTCTTACGTTTTAGAAATGTAAGCATCAATAATAGCACAATCAAGAATCTTTGACTCACGCGTAATAATTGGGTCAACATCTCTTGTCTGTGTGGCCACATTTGATGCACAGACTTGTCCTACTTGTATTAGCAGTGACATGGTGTCTTCATACAGTGGTGGAAATGCTTGGCAGAAGGATACTAAGCAGGGCAAGGTTGGCATGAAAAATATATAACGCTTAGCTTGAGTTAGTACTGCAAACAAAAAAAAGAAAAAAAAAAAACATTTTATTTTGAAATTCCAGTAATTGCTTTAAGACCAAATTGTCCTAGATTTGGGAAACTTAAGTATGGTCAGTGCTAATCTTCTCTGTATTCATTGATTACATGTCATCTGGTCTGCAACCCAGGCGAATGCAAGTTAGAACATGCTTTGAGTGCTAATGGCTGTGTGATTCTCCACCACAGTGTTACGGAGTGGGCATTCCAGAAATTAAATGGTCACACCTTGTATGTCCAACATTTTGTGAGATCCCACTGGCTAAACAGTGCAATTGCATATATTTTCCTGGGCCCACCTCTAATTCTTACTTTTCTTCCCAATTAAAAACCTCCCTCTACTTCAGTGGTAAGTGATTAAGTGAACACTTGTGCACTCCAATTAAAAGCCCGCTCTAAACTAAAGCTTAATGCTGGCACATATTGGTTGCCAGCACTTAAATCATCTGTTAACAATGAAGAAAAATCCATGGTCTGGTGCATTATGGTGTAGGAATGAGGTCCTGGATATCTTGTCACTAAAATCCATCAGATATGAGAGCCATCAGATATGCTAGCAAATACATATAACAGAATATCCACTTTAGGTGAAGCTTACCTTTAAATCCCCAAATATTAAAAGGCAGTTAATAAAGAAAGTACTACGGAACAAAATAGGTTATTTTGTTTCTAATCAATGGATTATAACCTAAAGCAGAATATGGTTATAATTTTTTATTGTTATAGTTAAATGCACTTTTACGTAAAAGGTACACATATCCATCTAACCTTCTCTCCAGAATATAGTTATCCCACCCTGTAAAATGCATACTTAGCTGACTCTTGGATCATCTGCGCAGTTGGTCAACTGTATACTACAATGCCAAGGGTATGTTAATTTTTACCACCACATCCCAGGAATGGTAGAAAGCAATACCTACATCACTGAGGTAGTAAAAAAAAAAAAAAAAAAAAAAAAAAAAGCATAACATTTTTGGGACTTTTGAGGCGGACTATATCTCAAAGAGATTAACAGTACACATATATAAAATCCAACCTTTTACTGAAGATAAACCACACATTTTGTATGTTTCTCTATTGCTTTTAATAATGATTAAGCATAATGTAGCCACTATGTTTAGTGATTAACCTTCAATAAAAGGTTGGACTTTATGTGTGTACTATTAATTAATTAAAGTCCCAGAAACGTCAGCTTTTTTGGTCCTGACAGACATAGGTGTAGCTTTCAGTTGATCAGCTGTGATGACGCAACAGCAGTAAAAAGATTTCAGCCATGCAATGTGGAAGGCCATAGCTCTGAGATTCAGGCAAGTATGTATGTATTTCCACTAGGGATAGGGGGTAGGTAGGAAAAATAAGTGGGCACCTTCTGTGAAATTGCATTTATCCTTTAAAGTTGTTTCGAGAATTTTTACTTCAATGTTAACAATACCAAATTTAACAAAGCCTCTCCATTATAGCAACAAAATATAAGATTTGATGGAGACAGCAAACACTAATTAAATGAACAAGGTCATGCCATTGCCATATTATTTAATTCAGGATCCCATGCCCGCTATAGAAACCTGAGAATCTGAATGATTATTTGGTAGGCAGGCCAACCATATGGTTGGAAGATCTAGATGGGAAAGTAAAAAGATATAAAAGACAATAAAATACACATTGAGCTACACTCACCTTGCTATATAAAATATTAGACAACCTACTGCAATAAAACACATTCAAATACTTACCTGTGAGCAAGGTCCCCATCACATTAATGGCTAGACGTGCCATGCTAAGCGATTTTGGCAAAGCATACTGGATGCATAGGTGTGAAAGAAGCTGTATTGCAAAGATCTATAAAAAAAATATATATATATCACTCACATAGGACTATACAAAATGTCATTATTCACAATCAAGAATATAAAATGTAAGCTGTGAACACCTTAGCTTTAGTAAACTGCAACTTGGACTTTATGAAAGACGTGCTTGGTTATATAACCTTTTTTGCACATTGAGCCTTCCCTTTAGGAGAGATCACTTGGCCAAGGATCTAGACTTTCAGATATATCATCAACATGAAGGGAGCCTGATCATCCAACATTTAATCCAGGAAATTTAAGGATTCTCTATTATCCTTTATTTAACCCAGCAAGACTTAAAAAAGCTTTGGCTCAACACTTGAGAGCAAGTCTGTTTTAACTGCCAACTTAAAGTAAAACTAAAAGCAAAACTTGTTTCATTTTGGCTAAAGTAAGGGAGGGTTTATAACCGCTTCCAATTTTCACTGACCCATTACATACATGATGGATTTGGGTAGATGGGTGCATGGGGAAGGAAAGGATGTTGGTTTTACCTGTAAACCATAAAAAATGTTTAATAAAATTGTAGCTGATTAAAAACATGATAAATAACCAAACACTGGTATGTAAACTCACCACAGTATGAAATAAATTATTTTTGTAGCATAGCGTACACCAGAATAAAATATCCTGTCCAAGTATTAATATATTAATCCAGCAAGTTACCTGTTTCTCTAATTCTGGCTGAGCTATGAGCTCAGGTATAAAATCCAGACATATGTGCATTGATGGTATGCCTGCAACAGTCAGGGGTAGCAGCTGACAGGGGTAGCCCTGTGGGAAATAACAATGAACAAATTTAAGCCACATTAAATGAGGAAACATTTGCAGGAGTTTTGGTGCACTTTCTGAAAGCGCACCAAAACCACAGGATATAACAGAAGTCTATGGGAAAGCGCAACTAACCCACACAGAAACTGTAAGTTAGCTGCTCTTTGCCCAAAGCACAGCAGGGCAGTGTGAAACTGCTTTTCTAAATTTGTGTAAAAAGAGGAATTTTATACTCACCGTAAACTCCATTTCATCCACTAAGAGAGACAGCGTAAAATGGTTGTAAGGTGAAAATTTAGTTTCACAAAAATAAAAAAGATGTTATACTTTCCTGCTCTGTGCAAGGGTATTGCACAAAGTGGCTCCCAAACCTCCCCCTTTTGGGGTCCCCGGCCAGTACTTTTGGCTCCTCCTCTTCTCCCTGTGCCACCATAAGAAACTGCTACCATGGTGGCACATGTGCGAACTCGTTCTCGAGCCGGGCTGTGCGTGTCAATTGACATGCACAGGGAAGCTCTTCCCCGCCCCCCCACCTCTCTGCTCATTGGCCCCCATGGCTCTGAGCCAAGCCTATAAGAGAAGGGGAGAGTGGAAAGAAGACCGGCAGACAAGCACAATGCTAGATTGATACAGGACTCAGGTAAGTATTTCGGTATTGAGGAGAGAAACAGCTAGTAAAAGATTTATTGCCCTAATGCATAAAATGCATTAAGGTAAAAAAAACTGTTTGACTTTAGATCCACTTTAAAGATTATAGCCAGCTTTCAGTGAAGTTTAAATAGTTTGTTTAGACCAAGCTACTCCAAATGAACTATTACCTTCATTAAGAGATACAGCGACTGGGTGCCGCTCCCGAAACAAAATCGATTGCGGCTAAGCTGCACTCGACCTGTCACAGGAAACTTTGTATTCTGGAAATTAATACAAAGCTTCTTCCGACTGGCTAAGTCAGAGATCATGATGTCATCCACCCGCCTCTCCACCTCAATTGGATTCACAGAATACAAAACTCCTTGTGAAAGACTGAGAACAGCTCAGCCTAACTCAATTGTGTTAATGCCGCAACACAGCGCTGTACACTGCATGTAGCTGAGGTTTCTACAGCTTATACAGCGCTCCCAGCATCTCTTAGTAAAAGTAATAATTAGTTTAAACTAGCTTGGTGTGAACAAACTATTCAAGTGTCACTAAAAGCTGGAAATCAGTTATGATAACCAATCTAGGGATATACCGCCTCCTACAAGAGAAATGAAAAAATACTAGGCCAATAGAAAAATTAAGGCTGATGCCTCTGAGGCCCTCCCATCTTACACATGCTGCAAAGTTAGAATGTGTGCAGTCACATGGACACCCTAAGATGGATCCAGCCTGAGGTAATCAAAAAAAAAAAAAAAAAAAGAGGGCTTGGGACTGAAGGCTTACGTTCTGTAAAAGTAAAGGGAAGGAAGGAAAGGGGAGAAGGGAAAGAAAAGGAGGGAGAAGGATGGAGGAAAGGGGAAGAAGGGAAGGAAGGAGGAAAGGGGAAGAAGGGAAGGAAGGAGGAAAGGGGAAGAAGGGAAGGAAGGAGGAAAGGGGGAAAGGGGAAGAAGGGAAGGGGGAAGGAGGAAAGGGGAAGAAGGGAAGGAAGGAAGAAGGGGGGAGGAGGAGGAAGGAAGGGGAGGGGGAGGAGGAAGGAAAGGGGGAGGAGGAAGGAAAGGGGGGGGAAAGGAAAGGGGGGAGAAAGGAAAGGGGGGGAGAAAGGAAAGGGGGGGGAGAAAGGAAAGGGGGGGAGAAAGGAAAGGGGGGGGAGAAAGGAAAGGGGGGGAGAAAAAGGAAAGGGGGGGAGAAAGGAAGGAAAGGGGGGGGGAAAGAAAGGAGGAAAGGGGGGGGGAGAAAGAAAGGGGGGGGAGAAAGGAAAGGGGGGGGGGGAGAAAGGAAAGGGGGGGGGGGGAAAGGAAAGGGGGGGGAGAAAGGAAAGGGGGGGGAGAAAGGAAAGGGGGGGGGAGAAAGGAAAGGGGGGGGAGAAAGGAAAGGGGGGGGGAGAAAGGAAAGGGGAAAGGGGGGGGGGGGGAAAGGAGGAAAAAGGAGGAAGGAAAGGGGGGGGGGGTGGAAGGAAAGGGGGAAGGAAGGAGGGGGGTTGAAGGTTTTGTGCAGTGCACAGTGTGCCGCACGTATGCAACAATGGAGCAACAGCTCCAGGGTGGATACCGCTGCGACAGATGTGAACAGGTTGCCCTTCTGGAAACTCACATTAGAGATTAGGAGGAGCAAGTTGCAACACTGGGCAGAACATACAGCCTTGAAAGGGGTCTTCTGCGATTTGAGCAGGTAGCTAATGGGATTGATGTGGAAGGCGGAGGGGCTAATCAGGATTATCAGCTAGGAAGATGGGTTACTGGAACGAGAGGGTGTGGTAGGGGCTCACAGAAAAGGAAGGCCGACCCTAAGTTTGTGCACTCAAAAAGTAGGGTGAAGATGTGGGGGGAGGGCGACAAGCTCAGGGGTGGCAGCCCTGGATGTCACTGCTATCCCTAACAGCTGGAAGGGAAGACGAGGGTAGTGCAGAAAGGCCTAGACAGTTGGTGGTAGTAGGGGATTCTATAATCAGAAGGACTGATGGAATAATTTGTCACCAGGATCGCCTCAACCGAATGGTTTGCGATCTCCCTGGTGCCAGGGTTCGGCATGTGGTGGCCGGGTTGATAAATTACTGTAAGGGGCTGGCATGGCCCAGCTGTCCTGGTCCATGTTGGAACCAACGACAGAATACATGGAAGGTGGATGCTCCTTAAGAATCAATTTAAAGAAGTAGGCTGAAAGTTGAAGGGAAGGACCTCCAAGGTGATATTTTCTGAAATATTACTTGTGCCATGCACAACTCAGGAAAGACAGGGGGATATTACAGAACTCAATGCATGGCTAAAGACCTGGTGTAAGAGGGAAGAATTTGGGTTTCTAGAGCACTGGACTGACTTTTCATTGGGGTGCAACATATATGCTAGAGATGGTTTGCACCTAAATGGAAGGGGGTCTGTTGTGCTGGGAGAGAGGTTTATGGGAAGGGTGGAGGAGTATTTAAATTAGGATAGAGGGGAGAGGGAGAATTAGATTATAATGGGGTAAACAGATCAGACAGGGGTCAGTACTTATTGGTGGGTGGAATGGAGAAAGATGGAGGGAGAGCTATGGCAGATGATAAGAAGGTTCCCATGTTACAAACAACCAGTGGAACTGGTACCATTTGTATGAAAATAAAAAAATATGCAAAACACATGTGCACAAGGTGTCAATGAATTAAAGTGTTTTTTCACCAATGCCAGAAGTCTGCCAAGCAAAATAAGGCGAGTTGGCAGCTTTGGTGCATGAAGAGAACTATGATTTAATTGGTATTGCTGAATCTTGGCTTCATTCTTCACATGACTGGGCCATTAATATTCCTGGCTACGTTCTCTTTCAGAGAGACAGGGTAAATTGGAATGGTGGTGTTGCCTGTCTCTATGAGAAATTATCTCAGAAGTGTGAAAGAGGACCTAGTTGATGGAGAGTGTGATGAGGCTGAAGCAATATGGGTGGAACTGCACATGGGGGTGAGTACTACAACGGTAATCACTGGAGTTTGTTATAGGCCTTCCAGTGAGGTAGAGACTCCGCTCCTTGCACAGATCAAAAGAGCTGAAAGGGCTGGGACAGTGATAATAATGGGGGATTTTAACTACTCAGAAACTGACTGGAGTAATGGTACTGCAGGAACAGTTAAAGGGCAACAATTTTTAAACCTACTACAGGCAAATGTTATGGTACCTAGATTTAAAAAGGGGTCAAAATCTTTACCAAGTAATTATAGACATTTTAGTTTAACTTCTATAGTTGGGAAGACACTGAAGAGTTTAATAAAAGACCACTTAGATGAGTTCTTGCTGGAAAGAAATATTTTAAGCAACAGACAGCATGGATTCATGAAAGGCAGAAGTTGTCAAACAAATTTGATTTCTTTTTATGAGGAGGTGAGCAAACCTTGGTGGCAGTGGATGTGGTATACTTGGATTTTGAAAAAGCATTTGACACAGTTCCCCACACACAGCTAATGTGTAAGGTAAAATCCATATGTAAATGGATAGAAAACTGGCTAAAGGATCGTCTTCAGAGAGGAGTGGTTAGTGTTGGCCTCCCCTCTGATGATGTGCATTGAACGAAAGGCCTTAGGAGGAGCCAACAGAGCGTGATGTCACAGCTGCCTGGAGCCATGAGGAGGCCCGGCGGCCATCTTTAATAAGGGGTTAGTACTACTCTTCATTAATACTGAGATATATGGAGTGTTTACTACCCTGTTTTACCACTGCATCTTTTGAATAAAGTCTTCTTAACAATACTACACTATGGGCACCTTTTTTGGCTCCCATTGGAGCTAACTAATTTCCAGGATATCCCATTGCAATCCACTACCACCAGAGGGAGGGAGCCCTGTATCCAGTCTGTGCACCCATCCAACCTTAAGGGGACCTCTGGACCTGGCAGCTTTTATTACATACCACCAAGACAAGATTACCTTTAGATGGATGCTCACCTATTCCACCTTCCTAAGTGATCTGGTGGATACTGATTACATGCGCATTATCTATGCGCATTTTTTATCATTTGTTCCTGTGACAACTTGCCTTGGTATACTGCAACATCAAGTGGATCATCTTTTATATCTATATATATATATATGAACTATTTATCGATGCGTTTATAATATTTATGGGTCATTTTATTATTCATTTATTCACTACTAATATTTAGCGCTGCACTTCTATTTGTTTATTGATTAATGCTTCATACTCTGAATGGTCTAGGGTTGTCAGTGGTGTACCCCGAGGTTCAGTGTTGGGACCCTTACTTTTTAATACATTTATAAATGATATAGGGTCTGGGATTATAAATACCATTTCAGTCTTTGCAAATGACAGCAAGCTGTGCAGTGGAATAACCTCCTTGCAGGATGTCTCCAACTTACAAGCCAACCTCAATGCACTGTTTAATTGGGGAACTATGTGGCAAATGAGGTTTAATGTTGATAAATGTAAGGTGATGCACTTGGAGGCTAAGAATATGCATGCATCATACATACTAGAGGGAGTACAACTGGGAGAATCAATGGTGGAGAAGGATCTGGGGGTTCTGGTAGATCACAAGCTTAATAATGGCATGCAATGCCAAGCTGCGGTTTCTAAAGCGAACAAAATCCTCTCTTGTATTAAAAGAGGTATAGACTCCAGAGAGAGATATAATTTTACCCCTGTACAAATCATTAGTAAGACCTCATCTGGAATATGCAGTTCAATTTTGGGCAACAATTCACAAAAAGAACATTGGGGAACTGGAGAAAGTACAGAGAAGGGCAACTAAACTGATAAGAGGCATGGAGGAGCTCAGCTATGAGGAAAGATTAGAGGAACTGAATTTATTCTCTCTTGAGAGGAGGAGATTAAGGGGGGATATGATCAACATGTATAAATACTACAGTGGTTCATATAGTGAACTCGGTGTAGAGCTATTCACCCTGAGGTCATCACAGAGGACAAGGGGGAACTCTTTACATCTGGAGAAAAAAAATTTAATCTCCAAAACATGGAAAGGTTTCTTCACAGTAAGAGCTGTGAAAATGTGGAATAGACTCCCTCAAGAGTTGGTTCTGGCCAGCTCAGTGGATTGCTTTAAAAAAAAAAGGCCTGGATTCTTTCTTGGATACACAGAATATAACTGGATACTATGTAAAGGTAAAGTTGGTCCAGGGAATATCAGATTGCCTCTCGGAGAATCAGGAAATAATTTTTAAGGAAGGAAGGAAGGAAGAGAGAAGGGAAAGAGGAAGGAGAGGAAGGAAGGAAAGAGGGAAGGAAGGAAGGAAGGAAAGAGGGAAGGAAGGAAGGAAGGAAGGAAGGAAGGAAGGAGGAAAGAGGGAGGGAAGGAAGGAGGAAAGAGGAAGGGAAGGAAGGAAGGAAAGAGAGAGGGAAGGAAGGAAGGAAGGAAGGAAAGAGAGACGGAAGGAAGGAAGGAAGGAAAGAGAGACGGAAGGAGGAAGGAAGGAAGGAATCGGAAGGGAAGGAAGGAAGGGAAAGAGAGAGGAAGGAAGGAAGGAAGGAAAGAGAGACGGAAGGAAGGAAGGAAGGAAAGAGACGGAGGGAAGGAAGGAAGAGAGGGAGGGAAGGAAGGAAGGAGAGGGAGGGAAGGAAGGAAGGAAGGAAGGGAAGGGCCGAAGAGACGGGAAGGGAAGGGGAAGGATGAAGGAAGGGAAGGAGAGTGATAGGGAGGGAAGGAAGGAAGGGAAGGAAGAGAAAGGAAGGGAGGAAGGGAAGGAAGGAAGGAGAGGGAGGGAAGGAAGGAAGGAAGGAGAGGGAGGGAAGGAAGGAAGGAAGGAGAGGGAGGGGTGAGGAAGGAGGGGAGGGAGGGGAAGGAAGGAGAGGGAGGGAGGAAGGAAGGAGAGGGAGGCGAAGGAAGGAAGGGAGGGAGGGGAAGGAAGGAGAGAGGGGAGGGAAGGAAGGAGAGGGAGGGAGGGAAGGAAGGAGAGGAAGGGAGGGAAGGGAAGGAGAGGAAGGAGGGAAGGAAGGAGAGGAAGGGATGGAAGGAAGGAGAGGAGGGAGGAAGGAAGGAGAGGAGGGAGGGAAGGAAGGAGAGGGAGGAGGGAGGGAAGGAAGGAAGGGAGGGAGGGAAGGAAGGAAGGAAGGGAGGGAGGAAGGAAGGAAGGAGGTGAGGGAGGTGAAGGAAGGAGAGGGAGGGAGGGAAGGAAGGAGAGGGAGGGAAGGAAGGAGAGGAAGGAGAGGGAGGTAGAGGAGGGAGGGAAGGAAGGAGAGGGAGGGAGGGAGGTGAGGGAAGGAAGGAGAGGGAGGGATGGGAGTGAGGAAGGAAGGAGAGGGAGGGAGGGAGGGAGGGAAGGAAGGAGAGGGAGGGAGGGAGGGAAGGAAGGAGAGGGGGAGGGAAGGAAGGAGAGGGAGGGAGGGAGGAAGGATGAGGGAGGGAGGGAGGAAGGAGAGGGAGGGAGGAAGGAGGGAGGAGGGAGGGAAGGAAGGAGTGGAGGGAGGAAGGAGAGGGAGGGAGGAAGGAGGGAAGGAAGGAAGGAAGGAACGAAGGAAGGAAGGAAGGAGAGGAGGGAAGGAGAGGGAAGAAAGGAAGGGAGAAGGAAGGAGAGAAGGAAGGAAGAAGAAGGAGAGGGGAAGAGGAAGGAGAAGGAGGAGGAAGGTAAGAGAAAAGGATGAAGAAGAAAGGAAGGAAGGGGAAAGAGGGGGGAGGAGTGAGGAAAGAATGGAAAAAATTGGGGGGGGGGGGGGTGGGGTAGTGAGGAGGATGGGGAAAGGGGGGGGGTAGTTCCAGGAATGAATGGGAAAGAGGGGGGGGAGGTAGTGAGGAAGGAATAGGGAAAGAGGGGGGGGGGAGGAGGAGTGAGGAAGGAAGGGAAAGAGGGGGGGGGAGTGAGGAAGGAAGGGAAAGAGGGGGGGGGGGGGTGAGGAGTAGGAAGGGGAAGAGGGGGGGAGGAGTGAGGCAGGAAGGGGAAAGGAGGGGGGAAGGAAGGAAGGAAGAGAGGTCAGAGGGAAAAGGAGGAAGGAAGCAGAAAAGGAAGGTGGAAAAAGGAGGAAGGAAGGAAGAAAGGACGAGACTGAACAGAAGGGCTCCCATCCACAAGGTGAATTAACTTGTTCAAAAAGGGGATATCTAGACAAGTCCAGAATAAAGCAGAAATCTCTAACACCTTTACAAAAGCCAGTTAAATATAGCCTGATGTATAGACACACACAGCTTCAGGAAATAAGAGGAAAAATGTTTACTATAGCAAAAGCCAACCAGCCACTCAAAACAAGTGGGTTTTTCAGTGATGGGGGACAAGAGAAAACTATTACTCTTGTCACGATAACTCAGTAAGAGGTTCCCAGATAATTTTCCTGACCTGGATAGTTTGGTCCTATGTAACAGGAACATAGACAGGTTGTCACTGCTGAATACAGGTGTGCCACAAAGTAAACACCAATATATCTAATTACCTGGGAAACCCTGCACTCACTGGTTAACTGGAGAGAATTCAGGATTTCAATATCTGGCCTAAATCTACCAGTAGTTGATAGTGGAAAAATCTTACAATTCAAGCTTAAAAATGAAGTAGAAAAAAAAAAAAAAAAAAAAAAGACACCCATTCACCTAATGACATTAAGCGAAACTGAGCAGCTGGAAAGGGGTTATAGCCTGAAGGGAGCTGGCCTTCAGCTGTGCATATTGTCCATTTCTTCTTTAGGCAGTGATTTAACCCTAGGTTGTTTACTTATCAAGCTGTGTCCCTCAATGGACAATAGAGAAATGGGCTTTTGCAAAAAAAAAAAAAAAAAAATCAGCATCTTAAAAGGCCAATTTAACTTTCAGATTAAATTGGCCAAATACATTCCAAGTGCTTGAACAGAAAAGCCCTGCCAGCATGCTGCACAGAATGGCCCTTGCTCTATGTTGGAATGCAGTGATCTTTATACAGGAGTCTGACACTCCCCCTGCTGAAGTGTAGCCAAAGCTCTCCAATCAGCAGAGAGCATGAGCTTTGTTACTTGCAGTGCTACATGTCTGACTTAGCAGGGGGTGTGTCAGACCTCTTCAATCAGGAGACCATTGCTTCTCCACAAACAGCAAAAGTCCAGACCTGCAGCTGCTGTCATCTGACAGGCTTTTCTACTCAGGCTGTGTGTTTCTTTTAGAAAGAAAAAAATGACACAGATAGCCCATGAACATCATGATGCCAACTGGTTACAATAAACAACAGACAGGTCTTCTTTCATACAGCCCATGTATTTTCTTCTACATCCTTTTTTACATTTCCAAAAATAAAGTCTATCTAAAGTCAAAATGTAGGGAAGAGTTAGAACCCCTGGTCAGGTTTTTACCACTATGTGTTTCAGCTTTGGAAATGGTCTTGTTGATATAAATCATCAGGAAAGAAAAATGATGGTAAATCCAGACTTAAGGTTATCACTTAAAAACAGGAGTTGAGTGGGAATTTTCCAAAGCAGAGACCTGCTCTGTTGACAATTGTCAAAGATTGTTCCTCTTACTTTAGAGAGAATTCCTCTCACTTCCTGATCTGTCTCAAGGAAAGGAAGTGAAGGGAAATCTCTGCAATGTAAAACATGAAAATAAATTTTTTTTTCTAATCCTCACTCTATCCAAATCTAAAATTTTAGATTTTTAGTATATACACAAAAAAAAAAAAAAGTTTTCAAAAGATTTTGAAAAGTGATGGGTACCTGAAAATGGACTAGTTTAGCGATATTTGGGTCTGCTATAAACATCTGATGAAGCAGAGAGCAAATCAGGCACTGAACCTCTCTGAGATTACAAAGTAGGCTCTCATCTCCTTCTGTGTTCTCCTGAGTCTTCTCTTCCTCTGCTGGAAGACAAACCTCCCAGCAGGAGCTGCACTGCTGCGCTATCCTAATAGTAAGAAAATACAAATCACATTTTAGCTACTTTGGAGAAAGCACTAAGCAATAATTGTTACATATTTACATTTTCAACAGGGAACATGTAAGCTCTCATTGCTGATCTCTCCTAAAATCCTAGTTGCCTGGTTTCCTCATTGATCCAGTGATTTTCATATTTTCTCACTGACACAGAACAAGTATGTGCATAATCAGGAGTTTTCTCTGATTTTACTTGCTTGCATTCTTGTCTTGAGTCAACGGTTACATTACTGAATCCAGAAACAACTAGGTAAAAATTTTCATAAGGAGGTCAGATATGGCATCCTACATGTTTCTGTCAGTACAGGTGTTCTGCAATGTTGGCAACCTGGGCTGAAAGCAGTGCATTCTTCAGTTCTTCTCTGGTAACTTCCATGGTTTCTCCCTGTCCTGCCAGGGTCATGGCACTACTGGGAGATGGTTTAATATCCTGATCTGCAGTCTCTTTGAGGTAAGAGTTCAGATAAGCTTTGGAAGCTAAAAGGTAACCATTCAGCATGTGTAATGTGATATCCATTATTGGTGGACACCTAGAAACAGAAAAAAAAAAAAAAAAAAAATGAACGAGGGAAACCAAATAGTATGTCAATTTCACTACTGAATGCAGTCACCCACTAACCTCAGAATTCGGGCATCACATCGTAGAACAATCAGAGGGTCAATCATGAGGTCATTCTGTGTGTATTTGTGCTGACGAGCCAACTTTAATGAAGGTTGTAAAGCATTTACTGTCATCACCCACAACCTGTAAAAACCAAGAAGGTGACACAATGGAGGTAAAAAGAACTCTTCCAGCTAGGTAAAAAAAGAGAAAATACACTATTCTCCAAATGGCAGATCATGTCTAGTATGATCAAGTACATAATTAAACACTCTTACAAAAATAAATGTGTGTCTGTGTGTTTTGGCAGGTTAAGCTGCAATACATTTAATGCATTATTACATAGCAATTACAACTTAAGAACCTTGCATATCTGGACGAAAATGATTTAAATATGCACGATACATTTTAGCACTTCACATTTTTTCTTTAAACAGTGGTATATACATGATTGTTTTATTTGGTACCTTCTGGGCATGACAGTGTTCAAGGTCATCCACAACTTGTTGATGGTCTGCAAGATCCTACGTGGAACACCAACATTCAGAAGCTGGCTCATATTAGCAGTAAGCACTTCCGCATAAGGGATTAGGTCACTAGCGCTAAGCAAAGTCAAATGTTCCAAGATTTGCATCAGTTGTGTGTGGTTGCTTTGCAGTACTGAAAATGCTAAAAGCATGAAGAAAAAAAGTTAGTTTAATATCAACAAATGTTTCCAATCAAACCAGAAACACATAAAAACTTTAAAACTGAGAACATTTGCACACAGATTCTATGTTTACTGCTATATGATAGACAAGTATTACCAGAGACTGGTATAAGAATATGTAAAATATTTCATTAAAATATTCTTACACACACTTTGTAATAAGATATCTGAGAAGTAGTGACCTTGTAGAAGTGTAAAAAACTGAGTTGCAACTGTGAGCCAAGATTTCAGGTCACAGTAGCAGTTTGGTCACATTGAACTCAACGGGCGACTATGATAAATCTACAGCTAGAACCACATGTAATGGTAAAGTAATTACTGATTCAATAAGCCTTTCATGGATGAAATAATGCTCTGGATCATAGTGGGTACACAGCTGCAGGAGCTCACAAGGCACACACACACACACGCACAACACACACGCGCTAAAAAACATTTACACACCCCTGTAAAAATGTCAGGTTTCAGTGATGTGAAAAAGATGAGACAAATATAAACCATTTGAGAACTTTTTCCACCTTTAAATGTGACCTATAAACTGTACAACTCAATTGAAAACCACACTGAAATCTTTTAGGGGAGGGGATGTAAACATAAAAAGCTAAAATAATATGGTTGCATTCTGTGTTCAGAATTAAGCAAAATCATGTTAAATAGGAGTCAGTACACACCTGCCATCATTTAACCACTTGCCTACCAGGCACTTATACCCCCTTATTTACCAGGCCAATTTTCAGCTTTCAGCGCTGCCGCACTTTGATTGACAATTGCGCGGTCATGCAACATTGTACCCATATGAAATTTTGATCATTTTTTTCTCACAAATAGAGCTTTCTTTCGGTGGTATTTAATCGCCACTGCGCGTTTTATTTTTTTGCGCTATAAATTAAAAAAGTGCAAAAAATTTGAAAAAAAAAAAAGTTTCTTTGTTTCTATTATAAAATTTTTCAAACAGGTAATTTTTCTCCTTCACTGATGTGCGTTGATGAGGCAGCACTGATGGGCACTGATAGGCAGCACTAAAGGGCACTGATCGGCAGTACTAATGAGGTGGCACGGATAGGCGGCACTAATATGCAGCACTGATGGCTGCATGATAGGTGACACTGATGATGGGTACTGATAGACGGCACTGACTGGCATCACTGCTGGGTACTGACTGGCACAACCGCTGGACACTGACTGGTGGCACTGACTGGCAGCACTGCTGGGCTGCACTGGTGGGTGGGCACAGGTGGGTGGCACTGGTGGGCACAGGTGGGTGGCACTGGTGGGCACAGGTGGGTGACACTGCAGAGTGGCACAGGTGGGTGCACTGCTGGGCACACTGCTGGGCACAGGTGGGTGATCTGCAGGGCACAGGTGGGCGGAGCTAGTGGGCGCACTGCTGGGCACAGGTGTGGGCGGAACTTGCGGGTGCCACTGCTGGGCACCCGATCATCAGGGCACTGATCATCAGTGCCCTGATGATCGGTGCCCATCCCCGCTCTGACAACTGCCGGTTCTCGGCAGTACTTTCCTCACGATCTGACAGCGTGAGGAAAGTGCAGCTGAGAACCGACACTTGCATTTCCCTCTGATCAGCGTGTCATTGGACACCGCTGATCAGGTGGTAAAAGGCCGCTGTGATTGGCCTTTTACCACATCACGTGATCAGCTGTGTCCGTAGGACACAGCGATCACGGAGATCGCCGGGTTCACGCCCCCTGGGGCGCGCAGGAGAGCGCGTTCTGGCGGGACGTCATATGACGTCCACCCAGAACTGGCCGGCCGCAGTGCAGCCGTCATTTGGCTATCTGCGGTCGGTAACAAGTTAAAGTGCCTCTGATGAACCCCAAATAAAGTTCAGCTGTTCTAGTAGGACGTTCCTGACATTTTCTTAGTTGCATCCTACAGCAAAAGCCATGGTCCGCAGAGAGCTTACAGAGCATCAGAGGGATCTCATTTTTAAAAGGTATCAGTCAGGAGAAGGGTACAAAAGAATTTCCAAGGCATTAGATATATCATGGAACATAGGGAAGACAGTCATCATCAAGTGGAGAAAATATGTTGCAACAGTGAAGAATTAGAACAGTCAAGAACTGGAAGTCCCTCCAAAATTGAGGAAAAGACAAAAAGAAAACTGGTCTGGGAGGCTGCCAAGAGCAACATTAAAGGAGCTGCAGGAATATCTGGCAAGCACTGGCTGTGGTACACGTGACAACAATCTCTCGTATTCTTCATATGTCTGGGCTATGGGGTAGAGTGAGAAGACGGAATCCTTTTTTTAAGAAAAAACATCCAAGCTCGGCTAAATTTTGTAAAAAACACACCTGAAGTCTCCCAAAAGCATATGGGAAACTACGTTATGGTCGGATGAATCCAAGGTTGAACCTTTTGGCCATAATTCCAAAAGATATGTTTGGGGCAAAAACAACACCGCACATCACCAAAAGAACACCATACCCACAGTGAAGCACAGTGGTGGCAGCATCATGCTTTTGGGCGGTTTTTCTTCAGCTGGAACTGGGGCTTAGTCAAGGTAGAGGGAATTATGCACAGTTCCAAATACCAGTCAATATTGGCACAAAACCTTCAGGCTTGTGCTAGAAAGGTGAACATGAAGAGGAACTTCATCTTTCTGCATGACGACGCAAAGCATACATCCAAATCAACAAAGGAATGGCTTCACCAGAAGATGATTAAAGTTTTGAAATGGCCCAGCCAGAGCCCAGACCTGAATCCGATCAAAAATCTGTGGGGTGATCTGCAGAGGGCTGTGCACAGGAGATACCCTCAAAATCTGACAGATTTGGAGTGTTTCTGCAAGGAAGAGTGGGCAAATATTGCCAAGTCAGGATGTGCCGTGTTGATAGACACATACCCAAAAAGAGTGCTGTAATAACTCAAAAGGTGCTTCAACACAGTATTGATTTAAGGGTGTGCACACTTAAACAACCATATTACTTTAGTTTTTATTTTTACTTCCCTCCACCTTAAAGATTTCAGTTTGTTGTTCAACTGAGTTGTACAGTTTATAGGATACATTAAAAAGACGGAAAAGTTCTGAAATGATTTATCTTTGTCTCATTTTTCTACATCACAGAAACCTGACATTTTAACAGGGGAGTGTACACTTTCTATATTGACTGTGCACAAATATATTATTAATAAAAAAAAAAAAATTATATATATATATATATATATATATATATATATATACACACACACACACACACACACACACACACATTTATTTTTTTCCCCCTAATATAGACTTTTATAAGAGTATCTCATTCTCATTATGGTGCAATTAACTCTGCTGCCACCAATCGCTTCCACAGCCCTTTAAATAGTTAACTAAAAAAAAATATATAGTTTTTTGTAAAAAAAATAAAAAAAAAAAGTTACACCGAAGCACATAACACCCCCCCAAAAAAAAAACTACTTTTGAACCCCCACATATACACGTACGAACATAAACGCACACGTCAGGGCGTCTACGCGTGCAAATGTTGATTGCGATACACGTTACATATCGCCACGCACGCTGGAGTGAAAGAAATAATTCTGCCACCAGACTTCCTATACTGATTACCTATAGGGGCTTTTGAAAAATAAAAATATAAGGCACTTAAGGTTGATGCAATTTCATAGGCGCGCACAAATTTAAGTTTTGGCATGTTGGGTATCTATTTACTCGGCACAACCTCGTCTTTTATATTTTACCAAACATTTGGGCCATTTATTGCGTTTGTTTGCCCCAAAATTCACTTTTAGTGTGATTTTTGCTGAAATTTTGCATTTCCTATAAGTTTGCAATAATATCGCGTGACACAAAAAATTGGAACTACCACTTTTTTATTCTCTAGGGTGTCTGCTTTCAGAAAATAAGTGTTTCTAGGGTTCTGTGTAATCTTGCAAAAAATGGCTCTGGCAGCGAAAGGGTTAATGTGCCAAATTCAAACTAACATATCGACAGTTCATATCTTATGAACGTGGAGCCAATTAGGACCAAATGTTTTGGCTTACAGAGAGAGAAACTAGTGCAGTAAGAGTTTGAGAAAATGTCACGGATGAATTTTAAAAGTAGTGCAGAATGTGGCTAAATCAAGTACATGTTCTAGACAGGTACATGGCGCATGGTGTACCACTTTTAGAACGCATGAGGCACTTTAAAAAAAAATCTGTCCGTGCCATATTTATGAATTACAGGGAATATTAATTTTGAGTAGGTAGGACAGTTCACAAATAATTATTTTAATTGTGTGTTTAACCCTGTTGCTACACGTACACTTTTATTTATAAGAAAGGCTCCTGAACTAATTTATGTGCAAGTAATTCATTGAGCTTACCCTCTTGTAGCTGTATAGGTGAATGACTTTTGGCAGAGTTAGTTAATAGCATCCTTCGCAAAAGAGCATCTGTCCCTGTGATTTCTTCCTCACAGATCCAGTCATCCACAATGCAGAGATGTGGGTAGTTTGTAGCAAGCAGACGTAGCAAGGCAGAGTGTAAACCTAAAATATAAATAAAGAGAAAATTGCTTTTTTTTTCCACTGTATGAATAAATATCACTAGTAGAGTAGAAATTATATTAGTGAATTTTATTACGGCTAGAAAAATTACAAGCAAATTTTGATGCTAGAAAATTGGTGCCAATCAGGGCTGTTATAAAGACAAGTCAATTAAAGTGGAGCTCCACCCAAAAGGGGAAGTTGCGCTTTAAGCCTTTGTGCCTAGCTCCCCATTAAGAATTGGCACCTTTGGGGAGCAGGGGATACCCAAATTTGACAGGTATCCACTCCCACTTCTGCTGCGATCGCCTAGGCAATCGGAAGTTGTCCTCCCCCCTTCCCTCCCCGTAGTCTTTTGGGACACGTGACGGGTCCCAGAAGACTACGGGGTCATTCACAAAGCGCAGCGTTTCTCCCACATGGACAGTGGGCACCTGGCTGTGAAGCCACAAGCTGTCAGAGCCGGGTGCCCACACTGAAGATACCGGCGCCAGGGAGAGAAGACCAGCGGTGGTGAGGACACCGCTAGACCAAGGGACAGGTAAGTGTCTGTATTTTAAGAGTCAGCAGCTCAATTCTTGTAGCTGCTGACTTTTACTTATTTTTTTTTTTTTTAAGGGGGAACTCCACTTTAAGGATAGCTCCCTTCGACCCCAAAGCGAACAAGCATCAGCAGACAAAACAATGCATTATGCAGACTGCATAAACAGAAACAATGCAGAATGGCAACACAATACCAGAGACTGGAACTACAGTATAGTTTCCAAGCTTGTATAGATTTACTAACCATCTAGTTGGCACTGTTCATTTAAACATATACCTGCTAATGCAGTTTCACGTATTGCAGGGCTTAAAATTTCCTGCCCGCACTGGAAATCGCAACCGTACTGGGAGCTGAGGTTCCCGTGCGGGCTGCATTTTCCGAAGAAGTGCAGGGACTTCTTCCTTGCGTGTCCCACAGGGAACGGGAGTCCATTCAAATGAATGGGCTCTCATGCCTGCACAAAACGCGGCCCGCAGGAACGTGGAGATGTGAACCTAGCTTGAATGATTATCTCCTGCCTGTTAAGAATATATAACACAGCCCAAAAAAAAAATCTTTTTTCTTGGTGCCTTGCTTTTCAGACCTGTGCTTGTGGTTAGTTGGGCAGTGATTCAGAAAATTGCATTGGCTAGACTGCATTAGCTCTAGCTTTTTAGATATGGTCGAATTTATGTCATTTTTTAGTCCGTTTTTTTAATTAATCTTGCCGATTAAGTTGTACTTCTGTTACCTAGTCTGTTTTTGTGTACAAGTTAGCAGATATAGTGAGAATGCTTACCTACTTCCAACTGTAATTTTACATTGGAAACATTGAATTATAAAGTATAAGGTTTATGAACTGTATTAAAAAGTTATGATCGTATAGGAGGTGTGTGTGTATATTTCCATTTTATGTATTTCTTTCATTCTGCAAGGCGATTAAATAAAACACTACATTAAAATATCCTGATTTTTGACAGGCGACCACAGCGAAGAGTGGTATGTGGCATTTATGCTGTATTTCAAAAACTTAAGCTTATAGGGAAAAATTGGACCCATATTTGCAATCAGCAGGTCACATTTACCCAGGAAGAGGTCTCACATTCGAGGCACAAAAATGTGTTTTGGTCTGTGTAATTGATTTATTTTAGCTGTGCAATTAACCTTCACATTTAGGCCCCACATCTTGGTGGGACAGCTCTTGTCAAAATATATTCTTACCTCCAAGTTCCTGCTGTAGGCCCTGTGCTTGTCGAATAAGATATTTTATAGGAATTTGGTCCATCAATGATGAAGAGTAAGACTTTGGCTTTTTTTGCATGGCCGCTGTCAGAACAGTAATAACATTAATAACAAATATCTGAATACACAAATAACATACACAATTACTATTCTTGCGCCTACTACAGATAGGCTACTACATAAAGAGCCAAATGCACAGGTTAAAAGTATAAAAATGTGATTTTAGCCACAGATTTTTCTTCGGTGAAGAAAAATAAAACAGAAGAATAAAAATGGTAAACAAGGTTGAGTCATTAACATCACAGGTAAAATAAGTATGCATTAAGAATGCAAGTTCTACACAACATGGTGTCATCAACTGCACTGCCTAAAAATAAAAACATTATGAAACAGTCAACATAATTACAGCAAACTACCAACCTAATGTCTTTGAATTAGCTAAAAGAGCTTCCTCGTAAGAAAGAAGGTAATAAAGCAACAGTAGCTGAGCAGTTATTCTGTGTCTTTGGTTTAAGCGTGGACTCTCCCCTGGGTGACCCTGGAAAACTTTCAGGATTTCTTGCTCAGTGATTGGCTTGTTAGTGGCTTCTGGACTAGACTTTGATGCTGGAGTGATGACTGAATTGATGTACACATCAATCAGTGGGAGCAGCTGCTGATGCAGTGGAAGGGTCGTTTCACAAAGCTGAGTGTATATCCAGTCCTGGAACAGATTACAATTAGAATGAAATAATTGGCTATATTATCAAAACTATCCACAAAAAAAAAAAAAAAAAAAAAACAAAACAAAAAAAAAACAGATAATGGCTACCTAGTTTTTAGTCTAGTTTCTTAGGAAAAGCATTTGCTGTAAGGCATTTAGGGAGGATTTTAGGAGACAGATAGTTCACCTGAACCATTCTAGTATCTCGATGAGAGCTGTAAGCTGGTAACAGCATACTACCTGGAACAAATCCCCTTGGAAGTAGTGGAAAGTTCAAGGAAGCTGAAAACTAGTTGTAAGGGTCTGCCAGGGCAGATTGATACAAGCATGGTTAAAATGGGTAGGCTGGTGGGTGGAGTGTGTTGTTTCCTGATGTCCAACAATGGGAAGAATTATCTTTCTTCCAAAGAGCTAAACATCACCTCAAGGGTTACATGTACAACTCTGAAAGAAAGATGACCATTTTTGTTGCCTAGAACAGTACTTACTGAGTCATCTATCTTACCCTAGGTTCACACCTAAGCATCTTCTGCAGTACAGTCTATTTTAACATGATTTCCTATGGGACATGTTCACACCTCTGCGTTTTTTGGAAAGGGTCAGGGATTTTGTTTAACACAAAATGTTGCATTTTTCGTTCTAAAGACTGCAATAAAAACGCTGCAGAAAAGCATGTATTATGTTTTTGCTGCGTTTTGCGCTTTAAATCTGCCTAGAAACAAGAAAAATTAAAAAAAACCCGCAAAACGCATCAAAAACATGTCAAACACGCAATTGCAAAAATGCAACGCAAAACGCAATGCAGAAACGGCTCAAACGCAAACCTGCATAGGTGTGAACAGGGGCGGACTGACCATTTGGAAACTCAGGCACTGCCAGAGGACCCGGGCTCAGTAGGGGGCCACGTGAGATGCCCCTGGTACCTTTTTCATAGGCTTTTTTTTTAGTTTGGGCAGACACAGGGGCCCCATGATCCCCTATTGCCCGGGGGCCCCATGAGTTGTCAGTCCGCCCCTAGGTGTGAACCTAGCCTTAGGCATTGTATAGACATTCAAGTCACAAATGTAGAAGGACAAAACTGCAAGCTAAAGAGACTTTAGCTCATCTTAAATGGAATCCTAGTAAAGGGCTGGAACAGGAGCTTTTGAACCCAGAATAAAACCAGCACCACTAGCAGTAAAAGTTGAGTAATCAGCCTTGTCAAATGCCATATACTATATTCTGCCTTATGCGATTACCTGTTATGAAATCAGAAAATACAGGAAATAGTTTAACTGATTATCCATAGGTTGCAATGAAAGCATTACTAAAGATAGTCTTCCTTTAGAATTATGGGGCTTAGAAGATAGTTAAAGCATTCATCCACTAAATCTTTAGCAGTAAATTTCCTGCAGTTTTATTGGTGCATTGGAATGTGCTTGTGAACGTGTTAAGTAAGCTGAGGTCTAACTTTAAGATCTCTGCTGAAGTCACAACCAGGTCATGAATTCCTGCACATAACAGCAGTCTGTACAGACTTCTTAATATCACTGCAGACAGAGAGCTACATTTCAGCTGTGTTCCTTCCAAGTTACAGACAAGGATACATTTGATTGTATCAGCATGTAGAGCTGTAAGAGACAAGGTTGCAGTATCACATTTATTTCCATTCTACATATCTGAAATAATCCATCTTGAAGAGAAGTCTTAGTATACCTACAAAGAACATCTATTTAACAATGTGACTATACAATTCCTATATTTAGAAAAGTTAAAACAACCTGCAGTGTAAGTCAAACATAAAACTTGCATTTGTGGAAGACCTAAACAACAATGTGCTGAGACAAACTCTCTTTTTTTCTGTATATGATAGCTGTCATGGATAAGGGTAGGCAAGGAGACATATTGGGGTTTATTTACTAAAGCTGGAGAGTCTAAAATCAGACTCCCTTCTACATAGAAACCAATCAGCTTCCAGGTTTCATTGCCAAAGCTTCATTGAACAAGCTGAGGTTAGAAGCTGATTGGTTTCTATGCAGAAGGGAGTCTGATTTTTGACTCTCCAGCTTTAGTAAATAAACCCCATTATGTCTGCACATGATTGGGTATTCAAAGTGGACACAGGTACAATCTCAGTGAAGATTTCCAACTGCTTTAATAAGTCAACCCCATACTGTGTCTCTCTCATACTGTAAACATTATTTGCTAACAAACAAGAAATTGTATAATATGGTAGATAGTAAACAGTAAAACATTTATGGATAACATACCTTTATTGATACCTTGTGCTTAGTGAAAGCACGACTTCTCAGCAGCTGATAAATACAGTGAATTGGTAAAAAGCCAGTAATGTTTGCACTCAAGTTGCTTGTGACAGGGACACGAACTGCATGTGCTGTGACAACCTAACAACAGAGTAACAAAATAAAGATTGTATTTATTAGATTTATAGGATTAATCAATCCTTAAACAGTTCAACTTTGGTGAGCCCTGAAATAAGATTAAGTCTGTGAACATTGCTAGTTATATTACACATTATAGTTTTCAGGTATTCTGCATCAAATCAGATGGAGCCCGCCTCATTTCCTGGCTAGACGTATCCAGCATCTTCTAGCACTTTCCTCCCCATTGGAATTCAGTTCTTTCAGTTATCAACGTCACATATAGGCATTACCTAGGACAGTCTACAATACAAATGCAGCCTGCCAGGAACACCTACTCCTTCAGACTGACATGCAACCATCAAGGCATTTTGATCACTGTACAACTCCTCCAAAGAACCATCTTTGTGCATCAGCACTGAAGGCGTTCAAGAGGAGTACTGAAGCAGGGTGCTGTGATGTTTTTAGGAAGTCATGTACAGCATCTTCTGTGCCCCTCCCCCACCAGCCATGATCTGCCTGCATGGCATAGAGAAGCATAAAATTAATGGGTGGTCAAAAATAAGTTATATAATGAAAACAATGTTTGTTTCATCTTAAACAAAAACTGTATTTGATTGCACCTTAAGCGGTATTGAAATATAGCCATTCCTATGCGCTATCAACTATCCAGTAGTTTATGGATGCAATTAGTAACTTTGAATGCCTTGTTTCGGATTGTAGCTGGTCACTGCACATTCATTTTTGCTGTATGAATTAATAATGAAGCATTTAGGACAGAAAAAAAACAACAACAACTATCCCTTAATCCTTGTGAATTTTAGCTCTTAACCATTGGTATTTATTTAAAATTTACGGTTATGCTATTATCAGAATCAAACTTGCAAAGCCGAATAGATTTCAAATAAAAATATACAAACAAAAAAAAAAGTCAGACTTTGCCATAGTATATTATACTATTCACCAGTCAAGCAGTACAGATTATGATTAAACACCACATCAATATTCAGAGAGCCAAAACAAGTTCTTTCAAGCAGTAATTAAATTAATTCCCATGCAGACCAATTTAATTACTTCCAAGACTGCTGATGTTCCTCAGAGGGAAATAATTCTGTGATCTATAAACACGTAAAACAGTGAAATAAATAAAAGGTGCTTACTTGAATGGAGTTTATAATAATAATAATAATAATAATACACATGTTCTATGCTTGAATTATTTGAATGCAAAATGTTCATTAAACTTCACTACAAATAAAAGCTTCACAGATGTATATTTTAACTTTTTTTTCTTTAAACAGTTCTTATATAAGAGGCATAGTTGGTGGTATACTCTCTTATGTAAACAATTTTCTGCAGTTTTTTTTTCCCCTTTAGGTAGAGAGACAAACAAAAAAAAGACAAAATTCCTGCAGCCATTGTAAATGTACATTCTTTGGCCTCTCTATAAACCCCTGTCAACTGTATTAGAGAATCAAACAAAACATAATGCAGTCTGCATAAACATGACAATTCTTTGAAATGCATAAGGCCTATTTAGCTTCTACAACTATAACCGTGCAACATTAAAGAGGAAATGAACTCTGGAAGTTGTGCCCAAAAAAAGGCAGACAGAGCAAATGCCTTGTTACCAAAATTGCTGACGGTTCCATACAACGGACCCTTTCCCTATTACCTACTATGTCCTTACCACAGAAACCTGATATTAGTAAAGCTCAATGTGAGGCTGGGGAAATGATACACTATCACAAAAATCAGTGGTTAAAGCATGACACTTTACATAAAGATTCACACATTTTTCTGACTGTATTCAATTTGAAAAATTTGTGAATCCTGGGTGAAAGTTGTGTAACTCTTATGTGAAAACATTTGTAAATAGATCCCTTTAGTATTATATTATTCTATTTTTTTTTTAAACACAGTATTTTTGTACAGTCTTATTATATAACCATTAACAGTATATCCAAAGTAAGAACAGTTTCAAAAAGTTTGGTTTGCTGTGACTTTACCTGGTATTTATTGCATTTTGTATTACTTCACCAAATATAGCAATATACACATTTATGCAAGGTCTTTCACCAGTCACAGCAGACCGGTATCCCAAGAAGGCACATTTTTGTACTGCAAATAAGCATTTTAACAAGTAGTAGTTGAAGTAGATGCAGCATTAACCCTTTCCTGAAAGAAATACAGGGGCTGCAACTGTTTAAAATCTTTCAGAAATACAGGAATAGTAATGACATAGCAATTAGCAGGACAAGAACAGAGTCCTGCAAAGGACATGCTATCCAACACAGCAAGAGAGCAGCAGCCCCGAAGCTCTTTTACATAATGTGGCAGTCTCTACTGACCTTCTGAAAAAATGTATTTTGGATTGCTTTTTCAAACATGGTTTAGAGCCAGTTTACAGGCATTCAGGAGACAATATTGCTGCTTCCTGAATACCTGTTGCCTTTATCTCTCAATGGAGATTTTACATTGAAATACTGGTTGCAACCAAAAGCCAAGTGTTCGGCATGCGCTTGCAGTATGGCCCCAATGACTTCAATGGGCCAAGTTAAAACTGCGACACCACAAGCAGCCATCATGTCACAATGTAGGTGGAAAGTCAAAACACTATGTGTGAATTTAGCATTAAGAGATCATAGTTTTTGTCATGTTTCCCTCTACAGAGACAAGTATAAAGCTACTTCTTTCACAGGCGACTGCTGCTGTATGCTTCTACATCTGGTGGCAGGATTGTAATGGTTGTGCGCAGCAGGTACATGGAAGCTGTAGGTGACAGCCATCTTGTCAGGTCTTAGCCATTTAGTTTTACCTTAGCCCAGTGATCTTACTCTCCCACTCCTTCTGCAAACTATGGAATTCATAGCTTTAACTTTTAACACACTTCAAAAAGAGCCTGCTATCCCCACTTAGAGACAGCAGACACCAGCACACAGGCCTGGGTCAGAGCTGTAAACCACTAATTGAGGCCTGACAGGATATTTGTTTCTATGGACTATAAAAAAGTCAACAGATTAACACTTCCTTCTGACCTATCGTAAAACAATGACAGAATCAGTTGTGTCACACATGATATATAAGGCCATTAAAGCACAAGGAATGCATAGCGTGTCAAAAAAAAAAAAAAAAAATCTATCCAGAAAGCAGTCAGGCCTGGACGACTTCTCTGAGACCTCTACACAATTCACAACTTTAACAAAATCCACACACAATTTATAAAATCCAACAGGACAAAGACACCATAATATTAAATATATATAGGAATGGGGAAAAACATACTAAACAAATCAAGGTCATACATGACTATGTTTGCACATCCGAAAGGGGAAAAGCAGTCGCCTCCCTCCTGGGTGACGGACCCATCCGAAATACTCTGTTTGGTATCCCTGGAGGTGAAATATAATGCTGAATAATAATCTACCAGTTTCCAGAATACAACCTGTACATAGTGAATGATATTAATATTAGAATAAAACGGTGTATGGGAGGGCTGATACAGTCACAAACATGGTGACTTCCCAGCCACCATCCCTTAAACCGGTTAATTTAATTGATCAGATGGTCTCTGTCAACACCCCTTTGATAAGACAGAAAAGGAAGAGTCAAGATCCACTGACAGCTCTTGTTTTACCATCAACAAAGGAACATCTGTCAAAATTATGAGCCAATAACACCTTCCATTGACTGAACTCTGCTAAAACGAAGGGCTTTGCAAGTATTCTTCATATTCAACTGCCTTTTAATTCGCCGTTGCTTTATGGTTTCTTTAGAACACCTTTTTTCTGTAAATAGTTTACTTGCACTATTTTGGACTTTTTCATTATTAAACTTTAATTTTGAAATAGTATTTAACACTGTCCCTGAGGCTTTTTAATGCAAACTAAAGAATCCCTGTCTCTTCAAGAATGCTACTGTATAGGACAAACCTCTGAATATACCTGATTTGGTGACAGTGTGTGTACAGAGGTTTATTTTTCAAAGTTTTCATTGATAAGATTATGAGTTTCCTCCTTTTCAGTCAAAAGGTGGTGGTGGTAGCTTAAATAGTTAAAGCGACACTAGTTAAAGGTTAGTTTTTTTGGGGGGGAAAATAACAAACATGTTATACTTACCTGCTGTGTGCAGGGGTTTTGCACAATGCAGCCCAGATCCTTCTCTTCTTGGGTCCCCTGCTGGCGCTTCTGGCTCCTCCTTTATGTCGGCTTGCTATGGGGGCACCCGAGCAGGTATGTGCCCAAGTTGCTGCTCCGTGTGTCCATTTACACACGGAGCCGTGGCTTGGCTCTGCCCCCCTCTCCTCATTGGCTGACTATGATTGACAGCAGCAGGAGCCAATGGCTCCCACTTGCTGTCTCAGCCAATGAGGAGGCAGAGACCTGAGACAGCCAAGGCTGTTGTACACATCGATGGATCTTGATGAGGCTCAAGTAAGTATTGAGGGGGCTAGGAGCACTGCTGCACACAGAAAGTTTATTTACCTTCATGCATAGAATGCATAAAAGTAAAAAACCTTGAGCCTTTACAACCACTTTAATTGCTAGTCAACTTAACCCAGTGACAATCACTCTCACGCTGTGGCACCTGTGGTCCTGCAAGCTGGAAAACCTCTGTGCAGGGTGCAGCTCACAGTGGCATTGTTAAGGAAGTGACAGCACAGTGTGAGATTGGCTGATCCTCTGTCATGATTTTGTGAGAAGGGCAGGGTCAGGTACCGTATTCCTCACAAGGATCACTTCAAATAATTTTGAAAAAAGCTTAAGCCAGGGCTTGACAAATTTGCTTTTAATCTAGGAGCCTTATAAAAAAATGTTAGGAGCCAGATTTTTTTTATTTTTTTTTAGCGTAGTGTGGGTTGTCAGCGACCAGGGCAAGGCAACTTTTGAGCGACAAGCTTCACAACAATCGCAGCAAAACCACACGTTTTAGGTGCCATTAAAATTAATGGCACCAGAACCTGCTTTTTTTGATCACAGCGATTCTGCTGCCATCCCAAAATGCCCACGTGTGAATAGACCCCCCCAGTTCACATATATGCGATTCTGGATGCATTTTCAAACTCAAAGATTCACATTGTATTACAGTTGCAAGAAAAAGTATGTGAACCCCTTGGGATAACGTGGAGTTTTGCATGAATTGGGCATAAAATCTGCTTCTGAACGTCATCTAAGCCACAATAGAAGAACACAGTCTGCTGAACATAATACTACACAAACATTAGATGTTGCCATGGTTTAATTGCACATAACATGTAAACATTCACAGTGCAGGGAGGAAAACGTATGTGAGGTCCTAGCTTAATGACTTCTCCCAGAGCTAATTAGAGCCAGGAGTGAGCCAACCTTGACTCCAATCAGTGTGATGATATTGGATGTGTTGCTGACAGCTGTCCTGCCCTTAAAAAACACACCTGTTTTGGGTTTACTGGTTTCAAGAAGCACTGTCTGATGTGAACCATGCCTCGCAGAAAAGAGCTCTCAGAAGACCTACGATCAAGAATTGTTGACTTGCATGAAGCTGGAAAAGGGTTACAAAAGTATCTCCAAAAGCCTTGATGTTCATGTGTCCACGGTAAAACAGACTGTCTACAAATGGAGAAAGTTTAGCACCGTTGCTACTCTCTCCTAGGCGTGGTCGTCCTGTAAAAATGACTGCAAGAGCACAGCGCAGAATGTTGCATGAGGTAAAGAAGAATCCCAGAGTGTCAGCTAAAGACCTACAGAAATCTCTGGCACATGCTAACATTTTTGTTGACACATCTACAATAAGGAAAACATTAAACAAGAATGGAGTACATGGGAGGACACCACGGAGGAAGCCATTGCTGTCCAAAATGAATATTGCAGCACGTTTGAAGTTTGCAAAAGAGCACCTGGATGTTCCACGGCACTACTGGCAAAATATACTGTGGACAGATGAAACCAAGATTGAGTTGTTTGGGAAGAACACACAACACTATGTGTGGAGAAAAAAAGGTACAGCACACCAACATCAAAACCTCATCCCACTGTAAAACATGGCGGAGGGAGCATCATGGTTTGGGGCTGCTTTGCTGCCTCAGGGCCTGGATGGATTGTTGTCATTGATGGGAAAATGAATTCCAGGTTTATCAAGACATTTTGCAGGAAAACGTACGACCATCTGTCCGCCAACTGAAGCTCCGCAGAGGATGGGTGATGCAACAGGACAATGACCCAAAGCATTCAAGTAATTCAACAAAACAATGGCTGCAACAGCACAGAATACGCCTTCTGGAGTGGCCCAGTCAGAGTCCTGACGTCAACCTGATTGAAATGCTGTAGCATGACCTTAAGAGAGCGATTCACACCAGACATCCCAAGAATATTGCTACACTAAAACAGTTTTGTGTGAAGAGGAGTGGTCCAAAATTACTCCAGATCGTTGTGCAGGTCTGATCTGCAACTACAGGAAACGTTTGGTTGAGGTTATTGCTGCCAAAAGGAGGGTCAACCAGTTATTAAGTCCAAAGGTTCACATACTTTTTTCCTCCCTGCACTGTGAATGTTTACATGTTATGTGCAATTAACCCATGGCAACATCTGTTTGTGTAGTATTATGTGCAGCAGACTGTGTTCTTCTATTGTTGTGACTTAGATCACGTTCAGAGCACATTTTATGCCCAATTCATGCAAAACTCCACGTAATCCCAAGGGGTTCACATACTTTTTCTTGAAACTGTATATCTATTGCGGTGGTTCACACAGATGCGATTCACATGCATTATGTTTTGAGTGCCATTACGAAAAGGGACCTGAGCGAGTTTGTAGCGGCGCATTTCAAACTCACAAGAGATAGAGTGGCATGCGAAGATGAGTGTTCATAGGATTGCTATTGACAGGAGATTTTGCACTGAACACAAAGAGAGGAGTTTTTCACTGAAGGTTTTATGCACACCTTGAAGTTCCAGAGACAGTTGAGTTTGGTATTCCTACCTCCTAAAGCATATAGTGGGCAGTCTCACTTACCTATTGGACCGTTGCACTTACCTACTGGAATGCTTTGGAGAAGGAAGAGGCAGGAGTTTGATTTTTACAAAAAAAGTTAAGATTTGCATATAATTTCAGCTGCCTACAGATCTGTGGATCTTCCCTTATTGCTTATACATTTGTTTTCATCTTATGCGCAGTTTGAATAGCCAATGTTTCTGACAGGTTTACTTTAACAATAATCAGTAATCGAGAAGTCCAATGGAACTGAAGCACAAAGGTATAAAAAGAGATCATAAAAAAATAAAGTAAAACTGCCTTACCAGACTATTAACATAATTACACCGAACATTATCTGTAGATAGAGCAGCATTCTCTATTAAGTCAGTCAGCAATTACATTTTTCTTGTGTAATTTTCCTCTAGTTTACTGAAACTCATTAGTACACCAAAGTATAATTACTTCCACGAATAAGATAATGAATGACTTTACCTGCTCTGTAAATATCTCCTGGGTGAAAATAGTCTTCATTCTACTAAGCGAGCTAGGTTTGATGACAATCTGGAAAATTAAACAATTAGATTTACAAGTTTCTGCTTGAATAGACACAGCTCATTATCTAACATAATATTTGTAAGCAATATCTAAGCAACCACTAACTTATCTAATAATATATATACCATAGCATTTAATTTTAATTTAATTTATTTAATTTTATTTAAGGCAGACATATTGGTAGTCCAACCTGGGTGGCAACCATGGTTCCTTCTCAGATAAAGTGGAGATGTGAATGTAGCCACATTTGGGCAAAATGTGTATTATTCACAGAATTACTAGGTGAAAATAAAGGAAGAAAACCTCCAAAAAAGAGAAAACTGCAGCCACCATATCCAAGGACTAGAAAGCTGAAATAGATTTTGTGTGTGTTTGGGGGGGGGGGGGGGCGGTAGATATGTTTGGCTTGTAGGGAAAGTACAAGATTATGCTTTAAAATCCAAATGCATATTACCAAGGTTAAAAACGGTGTTCACGTTTGATATCAAATCATGTGCCAGAAACAAATCCCAGGATTTTTTTTTTCTCTTCCCACGTGATTGGGTATCAATACAGCTTGAGTTTATTCAGTAACATTCAGTGTGTTTCAAAAAGGTTAAAAAGAAACTACAGCTCTGCTTGCTAGGTGAATAAAATACTAAATAACATAATATGAATTGATGCATTATTTTATATTAACCATACTAAAGAAAAATAGCCGTTTTTATGTATGTTCCATTCTTTGACAAAATTAAATTAAAAAAAAAAAAAATGACATCGGTTTCAAAGGGAACAAGTCACGCTGTATTAATTTCAGCAATTAGACATTTTTCTCACCTTCATTCCCAAAGTAGAGCAAACCAAATCAATGATGGCACTCAACTGGTTGCTATGAAAATACATGGCAACCAACAACAGCATTTCTCCAAACGAGGCTGATACACCAGCAGTGCTATAAAAAGTACAAAACACACCACGAGTTATACACTCCAATTCTTACATTATCTTTTACACTGTATTTCCCAGAATTATCACCCCCCCCCCCTTCCCCCGCTTTAGGCACATGGTTTCCTAAAAGCTTGCTCAAAGTTTCAGATCAAATAACAGGCACCCTCAACACTGGCTACGTTTTTCTGCAATAACTTCATCACCAGTAACAGGATTGCAAACCTAAAGGTATGTATAGTATATAATTCAGTGCTCTATTTACAACACACAGACTGGTCACATGATTTTAGTTTAGAGAAAAATGGCTAGATACTATTTACTTTGTCCACGTTCGTGTACTTGCTGAATCTTTCAATGGCAATATCTACAGAACAGAAGTGGGCAACAATGTGCAATTAAAAAGTGTATATACCCAAAAAAAAAAAAAAAAAAAGAAAAAAGAAGCAAAAAGTAAGATTTTTGTACTCACTGCAAAATCTTTTTCTAAGAGTCCATTGAGGGACACAGGAATTTTTTTAGACTGCCAAGTTACACTGCTACCTACAGGAGAAATTGACAATGGAAACAAATGCCAATGCCTAGTACAGGATACATGTTTGTAGCAAAATAGTAGAAAGAGCTACATGGGAAGGTACCTGTGTCCCTCAACAAACTCCAAATAAAGGATTTTACAGTGAGTACAAAAATCTTATTTTCTTTCTTGTTCATTGAGGGACTCAAAAATGCTTAGACTGTTAGGACATCCAAAAGCAGTCTAACAGAGGGAAGGGCAACAAAGACTAACAGGACCAAAAAAAAACAGAAAACTGCAAAATGCCTGCAGAGCAAAGCACTGCCTAAAGGACCCAACACCGGAAGTAGGAATCAGATGAGGCCTGTATTTCTAGTTGGTATAATGAAAAACAGAAGAATAGATAGTAGTCATGCAAAGTAAGAAACGTTACATAATGCCAAAAGCATAAAGTAGCACTCACAGATTAATTAGCGTGTGCCTTGACAGCCTTCCACCTCCAAGATGGCCTCTTGAACCGCATAAAGCCGGCGTGCGGTCCAAACACCGGAAGTGACGTTAACCCAGGGTGTTTGGAACGCATGCCGGCTTATGCGGTTCAAGCGGTCATCTTGGAGGTGGAAGGCTGTTCATCCTCTGCAGTGACTATAGAAGCGTGAGATCCCTATATCTACATTCTGAAAATTTGTTATCTTGAAGCCATTGAGGCTATTAAACAAGGCTTTTAATTTTATTTAAATGTGAGTGGCCTTATTCTATCTTTATATTTTATATGGAGTGGCAGTATTACACTATGTATTTGTTTCTTTGCACACCATTGAGGAATCCATGGAGAAATAGAGTGGAGACGAGGGCTATACCACAGCAGGGTGAAGAAGATTTGAGTTCCTTTGGAGGGGTTATAGGATCCCTTATATCCTATAAGGCTCACTACTCATCTCCATCTGGTGAGTGCAGTCAACATTATTTCTCACGTGGTGGATAGGTGGAAGCACATTTGGAAGATTTTTGATTGATTTTTTATTGGTTTTGATGGGAATAAGGACATATATATATATATATATATATATATTATCACGGACACTTATTATAAATTTAGTGTTTATCTATTTGTGTTATTTCACTTTTAGATTTTGCGCTGTTTTTGTGTTGTTTATTATTGGTGTTTTTTCACTGGTGCACAGCTGCATAATCATATAGTTTTTTCTTTTTTTGGCGCTGGGATATATACTTTTGGAAACATTACTTCCCGCATATGGGCAAACATTACTTCCTGCATATAACACTTTCCAGAAAAGTTTTGGGATATTTTAGTGGCAGTTGCCATTACCCATATCCAGTAACCTGTGGTGAAGAGAAATCTGGAAGTGGTCATTTCAAGTTGTGGTATTCTGTATCTGAGACAGCCCCAAACCCTAAGCTTCTTCCTTTGAGGACTCATTTACAGAGGATTCCTGATCCTCATCAGCTTCCTCCTCCTCAAATTGAGGATGTGTCTTTGATTCTTCATCCTCCCATAAAAAGGGAGGAGGGGAAGGAAGGGAAGGATAGAGCTTTTGTAAAACTATTAGTTTTTTTACATTTTGTAATGGGTGTCTCGAAATTGTACAGAATTTTACAATTTTTTAAAAAAAAAAAGTTGAAAAACACTGGTCTAAGAAATCGTGTATCCCTCAATGAACGAGAAAATTAAACATCAAAAGAATGAAATATTACCTTTCAGTAGAACAACCTTTCATTGATTATACATTCCGCATTCATGTTTCCATAACAAGCTGATTCTACATATGTTTCTACCATTGCAGTTTTCCATTCTGCATTAGTTTTTTTCTGTTTCACAGAAAATGTACAAATAAATAACTAATCAAACTACCTTTCAAAATATGCTTCCTCTTTAATCATCCAGCTTAGCCACATCAGCATCAACTGCTCTTGTTCTGGGGTGCTTTAAAAAATAAACAAAACGATTCACTTTACATTTAAATCAACAACTACTCAAGTCATTGGACATTTTCATGTTTTATTGGGTCACCATAAGAAACTGAAACCTTCAACAAATTTGGACATGAGGCGCATGCATGAAGCCACCAATACTGGATGTGATTTTGGTGAGCTCTGCACTTCACTATACAAAGCAACAGAGAGAGAAAGCTGTAGTCAAAGCCTATTGACTTCACAGACCCTTTCTGATACTGAGGTTGAAATGGCAACACACACTCATGTATATCCCTCTTGGGACTCCCAGGCCCAGTTTGATCTGCTGGAAAAAACAGATTGCATGCTACAGTGAGAATTGCAAGAGACATCCAAACAGATCACAGGAAAACTTTCTAAGAAGATCTATGAAATAGGCATTAGAACAGCCGAACTTGACACCAGCATGGGCAACACTGCTGCAGTTATCGGTGGACAATACCAGGGGTGTGCATGGCTCAAAGATGAAAATCAGCTTCTTTTGGCCAAAATCAAAGATGCTGAGAATCACTCCAGGACACTTTCACATCAGTAATCTTCCTGATCTGTAATAGATCTCAATGATACTACAACAACCTTTTCCAGGACCTGTTGCCTATTCAGTTTGAGCAACTGGAAATTGAGTCCCCACCGGGGCTCTAACTAGGAGGCAATGAGATGGAACTCCCAGGGACAGAATTGTGAAAACTCTTATACCTCTGAAACAAAGCAGCAATCCTCCTAAAAGCTCATAAGTAGTCTTTAAAACCTGCTTGACCCATGGAAAGCAGATACTGCTCCTCCCATCAGGTGATTTCACAGGTGACTACCCAGTCTGCCACAGGTGCCCCACACCAGCCCACATATTGACCTTAGGTGCACTACCATTTGCATTTTCTGCTTTTTTTTCTCTTCAGGTTTACATTTTTTAAGGCCACCTTGGCTCATGTTCCTTTTCACTTTCCTCTACCTCCTCCTGTTCCTTCTCCCATATGGCAGTGGTCTCCTTACACTGTTATGTCAACAGTTCTTGGATAATGTGTCCACCCTTTCAGAATAGCTGTTATCACAAATAAACATACTTTTGCATTTTGATAATTTGCTCCTTAAAAGGTCAATATACAGTATACAGTAGGAAACACACTCTTCTATGCCAAAATGTTTAAGTTTCTAGTATCACTGGCAGAGAAGACTTGTGGGTAATAACAAGCACAGAGGGATATCCACAATTTAAAGTAGAATTCCATGTTTACTATGACTTTAAAGCGGTACTAAACTAAGCAAATATTTATTATGTTGCAGCTTACCAATTCTTAGATGTGTTGGCTGCATTCGCTTTCTTTTTAGGCTCTCTTGCTTTTATTTCTGGTGATCCAGCCACTAAGTCTGTGGTTTTTCAACAGAACAAGCTGCCATGCAGATGTACCAGTTTAAAATTTGAGGCAAACCATTTACCACTGACTGGGGTGATGACAATGGTCATCATTTATTTATTCATGTAAAACCTTTATTTAAATTAAAAAAAAAAAAAAAAAACTGCTGCTGTAACTGTCTGTGTAACTGCAGTGTGAGCAGGAGTTTGGCTTCAATTCTATTTAAAACCCCCTCCCCCCAGACTGACAATGCAGCTGTCAAAAAGTACCTTTGTGCTCCCTCATCCAGAGTGGGTGCACTCTAATACAGGTGGTGTGTTACTAGCCAGATCACCAGGTGAAAACAGAGGGGTTTAGACCAAGCTGGAACAAACTATTTCTATTATCTGCTGTAGTGACTGTGTGCATTGTACTGTACTATATTGTAGTAGCATTAGCTGTATACAGTATGTGATGCTATGTTGCAGTATGGACAACTTCCTGTCTGCTGCTGGAACTAAACTGTGTCAGCATTAATGCTTCTCAGCCACTCAGGACAAGCCTTGTATTTTTATGAAGGACTACAAGGCTTCTTCTGTTTGACCAAGGTGGACATTGTGACATCATTCACTATCCTCTCCACCTCAGCCAATCAGAGGAAGACTTGTATTAACTGCTAAACAATTTGGAGGGTATGTAGCTAATGCTATGACAACATAGTACAGTGTACATAGCAGCTCCATCAGGTATGTAAATAGTTTGTTTTGGCCAGCTCAACTAGTAAAACATTACACTATGACCAAAGTACCCTTGTGAGTCAGACTAGAAGCAGCCAACTGTGACCCTTTAGCTCCAAACTCCTTTAAATGCCTCCAAAGGAAGGAGACCATTTATTCAATTCAATCATTTCCTGCTGATTAAAAAGGCTTGAGATGGAGTGCAGGACCCTGGTGGTTTACTTCCATAACAGCCCTTCCATACATATGATGTTTCTAAAGCTTCGAAAGCCTTACAGAAGTCCATATATTTCTGCAGACTGAAATATTTAGATATTCCCCAGACTTCTGACCAACCCTTACTAATGCTCTAAAACTGCCTCCAGTTCCCTTTCAGTTACCCTGATTGGGCCTTCTTTGTTCACAGCACTCTTCAACAATCTTGCTGGCTTTTTTTTTTTTTTTTTTTTTTGATTGATTCATCTCTCAGACGTCCTGTGTTTGCAGCAAAAACAAAGAGTGTTTATGCACAGGTCTATCAACTAACCTGCATTAAATATGGATTTTCTATGTACCCTAGAGGCAGCCAGATCCTTCTTTTCATTATACAGCTATATATTTCTAGTGCAGCAGTGAATCAGTTTGATGTTTATGAAGTGACAGTTCTAATTTCAGACACTAACTGCTTTATTGAAATGTGTAGGTTAAGTTGTACAGGGCTGAATAGCTGAAGCTCACATTACACAGTAAGCTGAAGGAGTCAGAGAAGCAATCTCTCAGTTCCCCTTTTCCTCCTACTCTGTTTGACTCCCTAAAGAGATTGTTACTTTCAGAGTTTAAAAGAGAAATGCTACTACTGTCATAGGGGCAACCTGTAAACACAGTTCATTTGTGAAAAATACACTTCATAAAAAAAAAAAAAAAAAAAAAAAAAACAAATAATAATATAAGCAAAGAAAGGTAAGGTAAAAAGGCCTCAAAACCATTATAGTTTCCCATTAAATGAAATTTCATACAGCTCACCTGACCAATGTGGAAAATGCCAGCAGCATACAGAAAGAAAGGGAGACAAAGCGAACGCCACCAGGAGTTGCAGGTGGCCGACTAGTCATGAGCTGAAGTACTTGCTCAGCTTCTTCATCTGTTGGTCTGTATGCACAATACAAATGAAATGCAAGTTACAAATCACCATTAATTACAATAACATACTGGCTTAGTGTGGTTAAAGCAGATCTCTAGGCAAAGATTTTTCTCAAAATCTACTGTGTAAAGGAAAAAAATACTTACATGAGGCATATATCACTTTTAGGACTGCTTGCCTTTGTTTACTAATTACAATTTCATTCATGCTGGCTAGTATAGCTTTTGCTGCAACTATCATAAATTAAATACCATAGTGGAGAAAGCTATAAACTAAAGTCTAAAATTGTATGTTAGAGCATAGATGGATATTAGTAGCTACAGTCAACATCTATAAATGCAGCATGCCAGTCCCTCAGTACTCTTCACATAAAAACAAAGTTAATTAACAAAATACAGATTAGTACTAAGCTATAACAAAATCAATTAAAGGAAAGGAAGAGAAAGGAATTGTCTACGCACTTAAGGCCAGCAATTCCCATCAATGCACAGTAGAGTCGAAGCAGAGAGCTGGCTTTCACCACATGTTCTTCTTTGAGTCCACAGTATAGAGAAGCTGCACGCTCAGGATCTCCCTCCTGTGGCATCTGTGCTTTTTTCGCAGCTGGGAGAATGCTCATCAACTCAGAGAGCAGCTGTTTTCTCATTTGCCAAAGCACTGAGCTGCTATTTTCTCGCCTTCTCTGAAAATAAGAAAGCAACATATATTCAATCTTGCCATCTTGCAAACACATATTATAAATAGTTGTAAAATCTGCTTCTGTCTAAAAACTGTGAAGTCTGAGGACCTACCTAAGTGAATATAAATTACACAGATCATTTAGGTAAGCAGTTGCACTACATTGCAGTTAGCAAACCTAAAAGAGTTGCAGAGAGAGATTCTACAATAAGATTGCAATGCGTGCACAATTAAAGCTAATCTATTTAGTAGCAGCTGTTGGCTGCCTGTGTTTACTGCTTTTACACAAAAAAAAAAATGAAAGGAACCATTTTCATATGACTGCTTACTTTCAAGTCCAATTTCTTTTCTCTCTGCCAAATAAAAAATATCTTCAATCACAACTGATATATCAGCTATTACTTAATAGTAGTAGATTTTAAGTTTCTTTCCTAAGCTCTGTGCTTTGGGCTCTGACTGTTTACTATGGCCAATTACTGATAGGCAATTAAATTCTCAAAATGTTAACTGACAGAAAAATAACCGGGTTCTTACCAGTTGACCATTGCGAATAAACGTTCCAAACCACGTACGAACTTTTGCATTGGTTCCAAGTAGCAGTCCACTCACAAAACAAACCATGTTGCTTACACCATCATCACCTGCCTCATTTTTAGTGTGGTCCAATGTCAAAGCAACACCAAGTCCCGGAAGGTGACATTCCTCTACCTGTAACACATTAAAATTATGCATTACCTGTTTTCCTTTACAACATTATTAGAGAAGATAAATAATATGTACAGTTTATGAGTCCCCTCTAAGGGATTGGAACAGGTTATTAGATTACTACCATCACTGTTAGTAACTAAGTTACTTGCATTTTACATACAACATGTTCTTACCACCATGCCTCGCACTTTGAGGGCCTGTGACGGATTCATTTTGCACAGCTGACGCAGTGCTTCAGTTCTTCGTCTCCCTCCAGTGCTCTCCTCATCCTGGCGCTCTCCATTCTTTATCAAACTCCTGCATACTATACAAAGAAACTGCAATCTAAATTTATTGTGGTTTAACAGGAATAAAAGTTTGCAAATTAAATATTTGATTATGTAATATTTTTGCAACATGGGGACAGAACATAATAAGGATTACCATTTCAATAAATACCTCCAAAATGAGAAATGACTCCTGGCTAAATGCCATTTTTAGTTGGCAGGTAGAGAAGTGAAAAATAAAATCCTTTGCTAAAACTAGAAAAAGTACCCGTGTACAATACTGTTTTGTCCTACCAGATAGGATTCCCCTTATAATTCAGGTTGGCAAGTAAGAGGTCAACTGCCTAGCAAATAAACTTCTCAAACCTGAGAAAATACTTCTAGGTTTATGGCATATTTTGAGGGCAGACCTATAAGAGAACACCAGCTTCTTCTGTTATATAGATAAAATGTAAAGAAACATGTTATCCATTAATTTCCAAATGTCATTTTTTCTAATGCTAGAATAACAAACTTTTCTGTTTTAAAGTAGACCAATCTCTCAACCATGGATTTAGGTGGTGTCACGATCAAAGGATATTAATAACCAAATAACATTATACAGCCTGAATTTTAGATCCTGCAAAAAAGAATTAATAAAATTATTGCTCACCATCATTAAAACTGTCAGGAACATTAGCCACCAGCAGGCACAAGAACCAGGCACCATTGCGAACATGTAGTAAAGCTTCAGCCATTTCAGTAATTGGCAAAAGAGTGTGCAATTCTGTAACAATCACAAAACTGATTTCAATTTTTTTTTTAAATGCACCGTGCAAAATAATACAAAATACCTAATTAAAAGTAGGAATTTTTACCTACTTGTAAATTCCATATCTAGGAGTACAGTACAGGACACAGGTAACTTCACGCATGCAAGCACACATACACCATGGTTTATATATTCGTACCTTTAGGTGACTGGACACTGACAAGCTTTTGAGGACATGTCCCCCTAAAACCCTACCCCACACCCTGAGTCCTCGTTTTTTTAGCAAGCAATGCAGAGTAAACAAGGAAAGTTAAGGAGGGTGTCCTGTACACCAAGGTATGGAATTTGCAGGTAAGTCAAGTTTACTTTTATCTTAATCCTATAGTACAGAACACAGACAACTTAGTCATACACCATGGGATGTCCCCAAACAATGAATACAAAGGGTGGGCAACTAGGCAAACAGAACTTTGCCAACAGGTCAAAAAATCAACAGGGGGCAAGGATAAGCAAATGACCAGGTGGTGACCTTACATAATTGGGCAACGGAGGCTTGGTGTCTAAAAGCCCAGGATATTGCATGGGAGGGCTAACATGAGAAACACCTTGAATAAAGAGAGTGCAAAGCTAGAAAAGCCTTTGATAAAGGATGGATAATATGGATACCTGCCCCTTTAAGGTGCTAAGAGCTAGATTCTGGTCAAGGCCAGAATGTGATGCACAGAGTCTGAATTGGACTGCACTCACACCAAAGTAAGATCTCTAGGTACAATAATAGATCTTCCTGGAAGTTGCCTTTGTTTTAGAAAGTTAGGAAACCACACACTCAGAAATACCTGTATCCTTAAGACCTAGATTTCAAACGGCCATGCTGTTAAAGCCAGGGACTTTGAGGCAGGGTGGAAAAGAGGGCTTTGAAACAGCAGATCTGGCCTGTTTGGAAGAGGTCAGGGATCATCGGTTAGAAGTCCCAGTATGTCTGTGTGCCAGGCACTTTTTGGGTCAGTGTGGTTAAAGTGGAATCACAGTTTTCCTCTCTTTATTCTGTGGAGCAGGTGAGGCAGAAATTGCAGTAGAGGAATTAGGGTCTCCTGAGGGTGGTGGTTTTGGTACTGTCCACTTTGAAAGCAAAACATTCCTGTGACCTCTTTGATGAACTGGTAAAAGCCTCACCAAACAGACATCTTCCTTGGAAGTACATACAGTGGGGCAAAAAAGTATTTAGTCAGCCACCAATTGTGCAAGTTCTCCCACTTAAAAAGATGAGAGAGGCCTGTAATTGGCATCATAGGTAGACCTCAACTATGAGAGACAAAATGAGAAAACAAATCCAGACAATCACATTGGCTGATTTGGAAAGAATTTATTTGCAAATTATGGTGGAAAATAAGTATTTGGTCACCTATAAATAAGCAAGATTTCTGGCTCTCACAGACCTGTACCTTCTTCTTTAAGAGGCTCCTCTGTCCTGCACTCATTACCTGTATCAATGGCACCTGTTTGAACTTGAATCAGTATAAAAACACCTGTCCACAATCTCAAACAGTCACACTCCAAACTCCACTATGGTGAAGACCAAAGAGCTGTCGAAGGACACCAGAAACAAAATTGTAGACCTGCACCAGGCTGGGAAGACTGAATCTGCAATAGGCAAGCAGCTTGGTGTGAACAAATCAACTGTGGGAGCAATAATTAGAAAATGGAAGACCTACAAGACCACTGATAATCTCCCTCGATCTGGGGTTCCACGCAAGATCTCACCCCGTGGGGTCAAAATCATCACAAGAACGGTGAGCAAAAATCCCAGGACCACACGGGGGGACCTAGTGAATGACATGCAGGAGCTGGGACCAACGTAACAAAGGCTACCATCAGTAACACACTACGCCGCCAGGGACTTAGATCCTGCAGTGTCAGACGTGTCCCCCTGCTTAAGCCAGTACATATCCAGGCCCATCTGAAGTTTGCTAGAGAGCATTTGGATGATCCAGAAGAGGATTTGGAGAATGTCATAATGTCAGATGAAACCAAAATAGAACTGTTTGGTAGAAACACAACTCGTCGTGTTTGGAGGAGAGAGAATGCTGAGTTGCATCCAAAAGAACACCATACCTACTGTGAAGCATGGGGGTCGCAACATCATGCTTTGGGGCTGTTTCTCCGCACAGGGACCAGGACGACTGATCCATGTACAGGACCGAATGAATGGGGCCATGTATTGTGAGATTTTGAGTGCAAACCTCCTTCCATCAGCAAGGGCATTGAAGATGAAACGTGGCTGGGTCTTCCAACATGACAATGATCCCAAACATACCGCCCGGGCAACAAAGGAGTGGCTTCATAAGAAGCATTTCAAGGTCCTGGAGTGGCCTAGCCAGTCTCCAGATTTCAACCCCTTAGAAAAGCTTTGGAGGGAGTTGAAAGTCCGTGTTGCCCAGCGACAGCCCCAAAACATCACTGCTCTAGAGGAGATCTGCATGGAGGATGGGCCAACATACCAGCAACAGTGTGTGCCAACCTTGTGAAGACTTACAGGAAACGTCTGACCTCTGTCATTGCCAACAAACTATATATAACAAAGTATTCAGATGAACTATAAAATATTGACCAAATACTTATTTTCCACCATAATTTGCAAATAAATTCTTTCCAAATCAGCCAATGTGATTGTCTGGATTTGTTTTCTCATTTTGTCTCTCATAGTTGAGGTCTACCTATGATGCCAATTACAGGCCTCTCTCATCTTTTTAAGTGGGAGAACTTGCACAATTGGTGGCTGACTAAATACTTTTTTGCCCCACTGTATGTACAAGGCACCTTTTCTTTTCCAATAATTCTTACTGTTTTGAAAACAGAGGTTCATGAATCAAAAAATGCCAAAATACTTTTGCATGCTTCATGTCTTAAACAGGTGACATGAAGGTTTCCTGAATAGAAGCATACACCCATTCCTGGGTTTGTTTCAGTATTGTGAAACCAATCCTTATATCCATGCAGAAATTAAGTATTTGTAACAGGAACACCTGTGTGCAATTTCAACAAAATTTCACAGAACCTTAGTATAAATGAATACATGTGAAATGACAAGACCATAAGAGAAATCAAGGATGAGAAAGAAGGTGTGAAGAGGTGCACCCCACCTCTTCATCTGTTCTGTTGGTACAGCTTACAGCGTTCTGTTGGTACAGCTTACAGCGTTATTCATTATTACCTGAAATGTAAGGTAAGGTATACATGGGTCCCATATCTTTTCAAATAAATGCATTTGGTCATTCAGAGTGGCTGATTTTGTTTTTTATTTACCATTATCCACAATAGTTTTGTGTTTATCAGTACATGAAAGGGACAGATGAAAATCTCCATGATCTAGCGATTGATATCCTAGCAGCTAGGAATATAGAGGCAATTCATTTTTGGGTATGCGTCAGTGCCTTCTCTACTGGTTAACCTAATAAGCTTCGCAGGGGGATTTTTTGAAGTTGGTCTGAGTTAAAGAGTATAAAATTAGCCATATCCCCTGATGCACTTAGGAGAGGCACCAGGGGCATAAGAAGCCATTTTTGTAGGTACCATTTACCATACTAAAAGCACATTATAATTGCCTTCAAAAATGGATGTATTTGTATAGGACTTAGAGGCCAGAAGAGCCAATTTATTCCATTAAGATCTAAAGCTTTGTTCATATCCCTCTCTCACTTCATCATGTATGGTAGTTTATGAGATTTGTGAAAAATTAAAACCTGCGCTACACCCAACAGATAATAAAAGGTGAAAAAAGTGTAAATATATAAAACACAATGAATACATAAAATGAATGAAGTGAACTGCCGCTACTCTTTTCCTGAATACCAGAATGAACGAAAATAAAAAAAAAATAAATGAGTGCTCTGTACACTAATTAAACCTAACAAAGACTAAACATAGACCAAAAATTAACATATACAAATGTGCAAAAAATACATCTGAAGTGCTATAAATACATGTCCATGGTATAAATAATCAATAAGTCCCAAATCCGGTGTGAAAGTGCTGCGTGCTGAATGTAATCTCCAACAAAGTGCTATGGTGTCCGCAAGTGCTCGCCACACCAAACAAATCAGCCTCTTACCGAAAAAATTTGATCCCCAATCAAGAGATCAAATGAGCAGATGGTGTCCAGATTCCACACTGACACCCATGCTAACAATATCGAGAGAAATGGATGTACAGCTGCGGGCTCACCCAAACAAATTCCTCACATCGAACTACTCTCCATACAGTGTAGAGAAGGATTAAAAACAGAAGAGACCTCATAGTGCAACCCAATAGAACTCAAACATTTATTCAATAAAACATTGCACTTACATAGATAAGGTGCAAAAAGGCAGCATACAAATTCAAATCTACCGCGGTGTCATTCCACTGGCCGGAACGTGGTGGAATGACACCGCGGTAGATATGGTGGTACCTTTATTTTAAAAATTTTTAGTTTATTAGATTTCAGGTTAAGGATGGAGTATATTGTAGAAACATGGATGGGAATCTTGTTTATGCCTTTGCAGAGATGCTCCATTGACATCATGGTAGTCACATCAGAATTATGTAATGCCTTATTTGAGTAGAACAATGGTAATGGAAGCTGATGTTTGCCTTGCAAAGTTTGTTTTGACAACATGTCCTGGTCATTACAAAAATCTGCTATTCTGAGAAATCACTAGTTTGTCCAACACATAAAATTACTGGGAGGTTAGATACGCGAAGTGCCTTTTACAGGCAGCTTCCACTGTCCAAGCCTTTAGCCAAAAGGATAATCAGGACATCTACACAAAAAAGTGGAGCAGAAGGCATATTTTAAACTGCTCTGTAACCACATGATCCTGGGTCATGGTTATTACTGTCGTTCGAGTTTTTGTAGTTTTCCTATTGCACAAAGGGGCATTATGAGATGGAGGAGAGTCTTTGTGGACTTTTGTGGACAGAGGCAATGAGCTTTTCAAAGCAAACAAGCATGTTGCATGAAGCTCTATCCTTGATATACAGTAGTGACAATGTGGGGGAGAGAAATCTTTTGCATCTTCCTCCAACACGGCCTTAACAACATCTTCATTTCCTTCCAATTTTGCAACCTCTAGAACCCTCATATAAAAGGGTCCAACTGCAGTGGAGAAACCGGAGAAGAAGAGTAGGGGCATTTCTGAGCCCAAGACAAAGATGGCTGTAATAAGGCTGTAATCTGTCCAAGACACAGTGCCAAAGATGCTGAAAATTCTGCTTCTGTCAAGTTGGCTACTTATTGCGTTCTGAGACTGGTGTTAAAACCAAGTCAGCTACCTTGAAAAGGGGACACAGTCACTCCGAGGTTGACTGTTGTGCGGACCTTCAGCAGAGCAAATGTTTGCCTGCTTTTTTGAATTGGCTTCCTTTCGCCTGGTCTTTGCCATGGAAACAGGTGAGGGTATTTTCCCGTGGGGTACCCAAGAAGTAGGGTTTGAGGTGTGATAAGTGTGTCTGGAAGGACAATGGGATAACCTAAGTGTAGACCATCCTGAAACGAATACCTGCAGAGGGGTGGGAATGTAGCCACCTGAGTATCTTTTAAGTGCTCTAGGCAGTGGTGGTATTAAAGTAAGCAACCAGTGGTGTGATGTGACATCTGGGCATACATCTGAGGCTGAGCTTTGTGTTAGCAATTTTAGCACCAAGTTTGAAAAGTTGCTTTGTGAAGTGAATACATTCCAAACATAGGCCTGTTTTTACAGAAACTGTCAGAGATACAGGGTGACTTTTTCTTACTTGTCCATGATGCTGGATTACATATAAACTTCAAGCTTCGTCTGTCATGGAGGGCATACCTCCAAAAGGGAACTATATTATATTCCTGCACTGCAACCAAATAATTTGTCCCAACCAAATTTTTGTATATATAGAACCAGTCGACAGTCAGTGAAATAAAGTGTGGTGCTCTAACACATACCTGTGATATTGTTTAAATCAAAAAGAAACCAACATTTATCCAAATTAATATAAAGTGCATATAACAAATTAAATTAACTGTGAATTGCAATGTCCAGAAAAGATATTCAAAAATTCAATATCCATGTGTATTCCCTGCTTTGATGCATCCAAAGTTGACACAAAGGCTCGCATCTCCAAATATGTTATGGAAAGCACTAGGAGTATTCTCTATGTATTTTCCACTGGTTACCTAGGACTAAAAGGCACAGTAACGGAGTAATCCTTTATGCAATGCAAAATATCTAGATTTGTGAAAGTGCCGACCCTTGATGAGAATAAGTGTAGATATTATGCAGGGGCATAGCTTTGAGCGACATCACCATGCCACGAGCAGCACCTCCAAGAGGGAATTCTGGAGAGTAGAGGCAGTGCATTGTAAAGCGGTGAGCAATCATAGACAGTAATGCATGAGAGCAGTGTTTAACTTAGTACACGTACATACTCTGACCATATGAGGGTATCTGAGTAAGAATATATTAATAAGTTATTAAAAGCACTGTGAGTATTCTCTGCTATTCATTTTGAGTGCACTGGTTATCTGAGCAGCAAAGGCACAGTGAGGAAGTAATCCTTTGTGTGAAACAAAATATCTAAATGTGTGATTGTGTTAACTCTTGATGGGAACAAGCACTCTTAGGACCTGTGTACTACAAAGTTTCCAGTAAGTGCTGGTTCACATATATGCGGTTTGAACTGCATGACATGAAATAACGATCCTTCCTATGGTGCCTGTTCACATATGTCTAATGGACTGGCAGTGTGGATTCAGTGCGGACTGAAAAAGAATCCTGTCCAATTTCTGAGCAGTGCGGACCGGTTCTAAACCGCACGTCATCAGTTGTGAACAGGATTGCAGTTCAGGATCAGGACTGCAGTTCAGGATCAGGTTTCAGCACAGTTTGCTCTCATCCCCACTCAGAAAAAGCAAAAAAACCTTGCAAAACCACATCCAAACTGACCCTGAAACTGTGAACAGTACAATCTGCAGCTGTGTCACAAAATACAGTCCCGAACTGCTGAACAAGTAGATAGCCATCGGCACTGAAACTGGACCTAGAAATCCGAATGCACGTGTGTGAATCGGCACTAAAGGTGAGAGCACAACTGGTTATTGTGGAAGTCACAGTGGAGAGCACCTTCGTGAAATTAGTTTTGGGTGGAGTTTGCCATTAAGAAATGGAGATACATGGCTTTGTGTCACCTTTGGATGCATCAAAGCACAGAATATACACAGAATTTTTGAATATTTTTTCTGTAAGTTGGGATTCACACTTAATTTAGGTTATATGCATTTAATATTAATTTGGATAAATATTAGTATCTTTTTGCGATTTAAACAAATAATACCATGGGTATGTGTTAGAGCACTGCACTTTATAAACAATATACACCCGAGGGGGTCTTCAGGGACTGAGTTCCATAGTGGTAAACTATAGCCCTGGAGCTGTAAAGCACCTTGCAGTTAACTCATCACAATGCACCAAAGGCCAAGGTGAGTTTCCCATGCGAGATCCTAAAGAGAGGCTGTACTGCTTCTGTGTGGGCATTAGAAGACAATGAGGTTGATTAAAGAATTCTTCCGAAAATAATAAAGAAAAATAATAAACTAGTAATGCTTATTTCTTCACGAAGGAGAAGAGGTCCATAAACTCTGTGGTGGGTTTAAAGGGGAGGCACCCCAGGGGGCGAGTCCTCAAAAGCTTGCCAGGGTCCTATCACCTGAAGGTAAGAGTCTATAACCCATGGTGTATGAATAAGTTGTCTGTGTCCTGTACTGTACAATTAAGGATATTAACTTTGCACCAATTCATACACATAGCTTCAAAAGAAGTACGTTGGCTGGTTTTGCATTATTAGCATGTGTTGGCTTTAAAAGTAAGTCCATTAGCACTTTTATATGCAAGTTTTCAATACAGAAGTCCAGTATGCATATGTACAATTTTAGCTACAAAAGTGTTTGTACTTCTATGTAGTCAGTATTACAATCACACCTCTGCCTCCAAACTGCTCACAGATCCAAGAATTGAAATCATCACAATGTTGATTCACTGTACAATCTTTAAGCAGAGGTCACATTAAGTGGTAGAGCTGAACTGCAAAATAATGGAGCTATGCAGTGTAGCAGAAGTGTGGAAATCAGACAAACAGAACAGGATTACAAAGCCTCTGGGAAGCAAAATGTGTCACCCTAATGTGCCAAGGGGAAATAGCTCAAACATGTATTGGAAAAAACTGTGTTTGGAAGTTAAAGCTCACGCTGGTTAGGTACCAAATGACAGTTCAATCACTCTCCAAACATCCATTGCATTAATCTGATGTTATTAAGCAGCCCAACAGATGTTTAGGAAACGAGGTAAGGGTCTGTGTCGACAGACCTTTTTTCATCAAATGGGTTTTGCATACCCATACAAGTCTATAGTTAAGCCTTTCAGTACCATACCTGCTTGTAAAATGCAGAGAACATCTGCCGCTTCCTCCATGTGCACAGGGCTTTCAAACAGTTCAGACGATTTAAAAAAATATTCACCATTTGAATCTGCCACCTAAAATTAAAGAAACAATTTAAAACAATGTACATATTTATTTATTTTAGCTGTAAAGGTAAACCACATTTTTACTGGGTGGGGTGCGTGCCCCAACCAGCCTCATGTATAGAGAAAATGCCCAATGGTAACAGCACACAAAGATGTTTATCCAAAGAAAGTTACCGAACGTCACAAAGTCTTTCCAGAAAATGCAAGTTTCAGCTGATGTGAGTGCTTCTTCAGGCAATAAATACAAAAACAGCGTTGATTTACTAAAACTGGAGAGTGCAAAATCTGGTGCAGCTGTGCATGATAGCCAAACAGCTGCTAATTTCAGCTTGTTCAATTATTGATGCTTTGATGAAAAAAAAAAAACAGAAAAAAACCTGGAAGCCATATAGTTTCTATGTACAGCTGCACCAGATTTTGCACTCTCCAGTTTCAGTAAATCAACCCCATCAAGTGACAATATAGCAAGCAAGTCTATTAAAGTGGTTCTAAAGGCTGAAGGTTTTTTAACGTCATGCATTCTATGCACGAGGGTAAAAAAACTTCAGGTGCAGCTCCACCCCTCAGCCTCCCAATACTTACCTGAGCCCAAGCCAGAGAAATGCATGAGAGCAGCGACTCTCCTGGGTCTCTACCTGGCTCCTGCTGCTGTCAATCACAGTCAGTGAGGAGGGAGCGGGAGCCGAGCTCTGTGTGTCTTACGTACATACAGGGCCAGCTCGGGAGTGAGCACACAAGAGTGCCCCCAGATCAAGCAGCTTGCTCTGGGGGCACTCAGCAGGGGGGAGGGGCCAGGAGTGCCAGCAGAGGACCCAAGAAGAGGAGGATCGGGGCTGCTTTGTGTAAAACCATTGCACAGAGCAGGTAAATATGACATGTTTGGGGTTTTTTTTTTTTTTTTTTTTTTAAGCTGAACCTATCACTTTAATGCAAAAAGGAACAGGAAATAGCAGCTATTACCAGCTATAGATATACTAAGCATAAAAAGGACCAAAATCTTTATGAATAAAATGAAGTGAACAGGAGTGTAAACTGATTTCTTGAGGACACATAGTAGCAAACACATATATAGTATTAAAAACTTCTTCCTCAGAGATCCAATTATAAAAAGGATAAATACCAGCATATCAAAGAAGAATATAAAGAAAAAAAAAAAAAAAAAAAGAGTGGAAATGTGGAACCACTGCGCTTCTCAAAAGCAGTTCAAGATCTCTTCACCTCCAGTTTTTAGAATTATTATATATTGCCATAACTTTCAGTTAGGACACTAAAGTACATGCCACATAATGTCTCACTACAAGTTTGTTTTTGATGCTTTTTTGCCTGAAAAAATAGCTAGCTATAGCCTGAAACTTGCATTTTTGTGGAATTCTGTCAATTTCTTTCATTAAAAACCTTTAAGTGTGCAACTCTTGCACATTTTAAATCAGAAAGAAGGGAAACATCCCTGATGAGATATAGATGGAAGCAAAAAAAAAAAAAAAAAAAAGGAAGAAGCTTTTTTTAATTTTTATTAATTTTCAAAGTTTTACACAACCCCCTACTCTAACCAAAATTAAACAAAAAAACATTTTTACATTATATATACAGTATTATATACCGTATTTTTCGCTCCATAAGACGCACCTGACCATAAGACGCACCTAGGTTTTAGAGGCAGAAAACAGGAAAAAAAAATTCTGAACTAATGGACTGCAGACACAGTACAGGGGATGACCAGAGACTGCGGACAGCACAGGGATGACCAGAGACTGCGGACACAGTACAGGAGATGACCAGAGACTGCGGACACAGTACAGGAGATGACCAGAGACTGCGGACACAGTACAGGAGATGACCAGAGACTGCGGACACAGTACAGGAGATGACCAGAGACTGCGGACAGTACAGGAGATGACCAGAGACTGCGGACACAGTACAGGAGATGACCAGAGACTGCGGACACAGTACAGGAGATGACCAGAGACTGCGGACACAGTACAGGAGATGACCAGAGACTGCGGACAGTACAGGAGATGACCAGAGACTGCGGACATAGTACAGGAGATGACCAGAGACTGCGGACATAGTACAGGAGATGACCAGAGACTGCGGACAGCACAGGGATGACCAGAGACTGCGGACAGCACAGGAGATGACCAGAGACTGCGGACAGCACAGGGATGACCAGAGACTGCGGACAGCACAGGGATGACCAGAGACTGCGGATAGTACAGGGGATGACTGCTGACCTTTGGGGAGGGGGGGGAGCGGGTACCTGAATTTGACAGATACCTGCTCCCACTTCCGCAGAGTTTTTGTTTGATCTTACCTGTTCCTGTATCCAGCCGCGCGCTGTCTTCCCGGCTTCTGTAATGGCGCTCAGCATGACAGCCGGGTGCCCAGTGCGCATGAGCGAGAAGCACTTCCGCTTTGTGATTAGTCCGGCGGCTTCTGGGATCCGTTATGTGTCCCAGGTGCCGCCTTACCATTCACAAAAAGCACCGCTTCCTGCGCATGCGCACTTGGCACCCGGCTGTCATGCCCACACTACAGAAGCCGGGAAGACCGCGCGCTGGATAGAGGAACAGGTAAGTGAAAGAACATAAATGAAGGTAATATGGTGCAGCGCTAAAAGAGTGAAAATTAAAGACAGTCAAAAGTCAATGTAGCAATATCCGTGATTCCTTAAATAGGATGCAGACTTCCAAAGCTCTTGCGGCCTTAAATAATAGCAATGCGCACTCACCAGAAACGCATGGATTATGCGCATGTAGGAATAATCATTCCAGATGTCAGATCCTCCAACACTCGGATGGTAAGCATCCTTCTCACGGTGGATCCCTGAAGACTCAAAGCCAGATCCTGAGGTCCTCCTTAAGGTATACCAGGCACTTCACAATGGTGGTGGGACTCTCTCCACTAAGTGGTAATGGCACCTTCTCTGTGGGGGTAACAGCTCCAAAAGGAGCCCCAGAAAAACACACAGGTGCCAGAGATAGTGTAGTATGTTAACGGAGATTTATTTGCCTTAGCATAACATATATAGGGTAGCATGCAAATCCAGACCCATACAGGTTAAATAAGGATAAGGTAGCAGTGACTGACCCTAGTAAAGATGTCCGCCGAGCCTCCTCGTGGCTACGGCGGTGCGAATGACGTCACGCTCTGTACAGCTCCTCCTTAGGCCTTTCGTGCCAAAAGCACATCATCAGAGGGGAGGCTGATGTGCTTTTGGCACGAAAGGCCTAAGGAGGAGCTGTACAGAGCGTGACGTCATTCGCACCGCCGTAGCCACGAGGAGGCTCGGCGGACATCTTTACTAGGGTCAGTCACTGCTACCTTATCCTTATTTAACCTGTATGGGTCTGGATTTGCATGCTACCCTATATATGTTATGCTAAGGCAAATAAATCTCCTTTAACATACTACACTATCTCTGGCACCTGTGTGTTTTTCTGGGGCTCCTTTTGGAGCCGTTACCCCCACAGAGAAGGTGCCATTACCACTTAGTGGAGAGAGTCCCACCACCATTGTGAAGTGCCTGGTATACCTTAAGGAGGACCTGAGGATCTGGCTTTGAGTCTTCAGGGATCCACCGTGAGAAGGATGCTTACCATCCGAGTGTTGGAGGATCTGACATCTGGAATGATTATTCCTACATGCGCATAATCCATGCGTTTCTGGTGAGTGCGCATTGCTATTATTTAAGGCCGCAAGAGCTTTGGAAGTCTGCATCCTATTTAAGGAATCACGGATATTGCTACATTGACTTTTGACTGTCTTTAATTTTCACTCTTTTAGCGCTGCACCATATTACCTTCATTTATATTTACATTTAGAGGCATTGTGGTTGCCTTAGGTGCTTTAGCTGCTGTGTTTAAAAGAGCGCTCACTATTATCCATTTTTAAGATGAAAGAACAACTCCACAGAAGTGGGAGCGGGTATCTGTCAAATTCAGGTACCCGCTCCCCCCCCTCCCCAAAGGTCAGCAGTCATCTCTATAAGGTCCCGCTGTAGAGCTGAGCGGCCGGCCCGGTATTCTGACAGGGCGGCAGTGGAAATACCGGACCGGCCTCTCCATATTCGCTCCATAAGACGCACTGACATTTTCCCCCCTTTTTTGGGGGGAAAAAAGTGCGTCTTATGGTGCGAAAAATACGGTAGTTTAATTTATGACCCCTTTCTTACTGTGGGTACAATGGGAAGCAGTGGCCTAAGCTAGTCCAGACTATCAGAAGTCCTGTTTAAAAAATTCAGAATGTTGCCACCTGGCACAGCAGACAAGATCATCTTCTGCAAGCGCACCCACTTTGATCAAAACTAATACACAAGCAGGGTAAAATAAGGTTTCTCTCATTCATAGTCTGTGTCACCAACACTGCTTCTCCAAAATAAATAAATATTAATTTCAATACGATTACCTCCTTACATGTCCAATACATCTTGTAAAACATCCAAAATAAAAAAAGTTAAAAGAAAACAGCAATCTCATTAGCAACACTGCTTTGCCAAATTAAAAATAAGACTTATTAGCTCCTTACATTCCTAGAGCATCCTGTACAGCACCCAGAATAAAAAAGGACAAAAAAAAAAGCAAACCCATGAGCACAGTGTACACTTCCCTTCAGCATTGTCCTTTGGAGATTGTTCTAGGCATGTGATCAGGTGAAATAAAGTATAGGCATTTTTTTTTTAATCTGCTTTTAGGAACCCTACAGTGGGAAAACTTACAAACTGTGCTTGTTCATGCAAACTGCTTTGTAGAGATGAGTGAAGTAAATCATCCAAAAACCAATTTTTAAGAACTTTACTTATCTCTAGAGAGAAGAGTAAGATTAGGGACTTTATTAGAAGTGTATTAATCTGGATTTTGTACATTAAATCACACTTTGATACAGTGCAAACTACTGTATCAAAGAAAATACAGGGAGAAAAGTAAAATCTGCAACATGAATGCCATTTTCAGTATACAATGCACAGAGTATAAACAGAGAATGAGTTGCCTAGAAATATGTAGTCTGTATGGATGTTGGTTACTGGACAAAATACACTTTGAAGTGAATGGGAAAACTCTGTTATGATGAGGAAGTAAATAAAAAGAGATCAGTGAGATTTATGGACAAATCTTTTGCAGGGATGTGGAAATTTTTTAAAAAACTACTTGCCCAGGGACTAAATCTGGGCCCCAATCTACTTGTCCCTCATGACAATCTACCTGTCTTGATAAAAAAAATTTTCTTTAACCAAAACCGTATTTAAATCGCAGGTGATTTTAGGAATGTCTGGGGCGTTTAAAAACTTTATTGCGACTTAAATGTGTAATATTTTTAACATTGTGCTGTTTATCTCCTCCTCCCCTCCCTGCCTGTCTCCAGCCAGTACTCCTACAGGCACAGCAAAAATATCTCACCAGAGATACATCTTCTGGTCACAGACAAGGAATGCGTTCTACATAAAATAAAAATATAAACTTTTTCATTTCATATCCTTCAACAATGCAGGCACAATGAACAGACAAGAAAGTATCCATTGTTTAATAGGGTTCTTTCTGAACAATACATTATGCATGTATCACTTTTGTTATCCTAATTCCCATTCAAATAATATGAATTCAATATTGATGATATGTATCTTAAACACATTAACAATCAATTCAATTTTCAGCATGAACACTGGTATGAGCAAGCCACCACCTGGAACAACCAAGGGAAGGCAAGAGTATAGAGCAAGTCCTCCTTCAATGTACAGTGCCTTACTAAACTATTCATATCCCTTGAAATTTTCCACATTTTGTCATGTTACAACCAAAAACCATTTATCATTTTCCTTCCACTTCACAATTATGTGCCACTTTTTGTTGGTCTATCACATAAAATCCCAAGAAAATACATTTACGTTTTTTGCTGTAACATGACAAAATGTGGAAAACTTGGAGTATGAATACTTTTTCAAGGCACTGTAGGGGAGTCATTCAATGCAGCTAGTGATTATGGGCTTCGGGCAAAGAAGAACAACCAGTACAGCCATTAAGTCCTTTAGTTAGCCACGTGTCCCCTAGCAAGCTAACTTTGTTGACAGTACAGAACAGAACATCCATCATGATACACAGGCTGGATTGATGTGAACGGAGTTTGTTTCTAAGATACTTATGAAGTGCTTCCTCTTAGGAACACATGTACTTTGACTACCGTGCTGTCTTTATGGTGACTTACTTACATTGGGTCTAGATGGTTTCCCATTGGGAAGTTGGTTCTTCTATTTTAAGGCTGACCACACATTATACAAATTTTCCTTTAGATTTACCAAAACCATATGATAGAATATGAGGTCAAGCCTAAACACTTTCAATTTGTATGCAGTCAGGTAGGCCTTTGTACTACACAACTGAAGGTAAATCTAAATGAAATTGCTTAAGAAAATTGTTTATTGTACAGTGAGGAACAGAAGTATTTGAACACCCTGCAATTTTGCAAGTTCTCCCACTTAGAAATCATGGAGGGGTCTGAAATTCACATTGTAGGTGCATTCCCACTCTGAGAGACAGAATTTAAAAAAAAAATTCAGGAAATCACATTGTATGATTTTTAAAGAATTTATTTGTCTTGCACTGCTGAACATAAGTATTTGAGCACCTGAGAAAATCAGTGTTAATATTTGGTACAGAAGCCTTTGTTTGCAATTACAGAGGTCAAACGTTTCCTGTAGTTCTTGACCAGGTTTGCACACACTGCAACAGGGATATTGGCCCACTCCTCCAAACAGATCTCTAGATCTGTCAGGTTTCGTGGCTGTCGCTGAGCAACACGGAGTTTCAGCTCCCTCCAAAGATGTTCTATTGGATTTAGATCTGGAGACTGGCTAGGCCACTCCAGAACCTTGATATGCTTCTTACGGAGCCACTCCTTGGTTATCCTGGCTGTGTGCTTTGGGTCGTTGTCATGTTGGAAGACCCAGCCACGACCCATCTTCAATGCTCTGACTGAGGGAAGGAGGTTGTTGCTCAAAATCTCACAATAAATGGCCCCATTAATCATCTCCTTAATGCAGTGCAGTCGTCCTGTCCCTTTCGCAGAAAAGCACCCCCAAAGCATGATGTTACCACCCCATGCTTCACAGTAGGGATGGTGTTCTTGGGATGCAACTCATCCTTTTTCCTCCAAACACGACGAGTGAAGTTTAGACCAAAAAGTTCTACTTTGGTCTCATCTGACCACATGATTTCTCCCATGCCTCCTCTGGATCATCCAGATGGTCATTGGCAAACTTCAGACGGGCCTGGACATGTGATGACTTGAGCAGGGGAACCTTTCGTGCAATGCATGATTTGAAACCATGACGGCGTAGTGTTCTACCGACAGTGACCTTTGAAACGGTGGTCCCAGCTCTCTTCATGTCATTGACCAGCTCCTTCCTTGTAGTTCTGGGCTGATTCCTCACCTTTCTTATCATCAGTGATACCCCACAAGGTGAGATCTTGCATGGAGCCCCAATCCGAGGAAGACTGACAGTCATCTTTAGCCACTTCCATTTCCTAACAATTGCTCCAACAGTTGATCTATTTTTACCAAGCTGCTTGGAAATTGCCCCGTAGCCCTTTCCAGCCTTGTTGAGGTCCACAATTTTGTCTCTGGTGTCTTTTGACAGCTCATTGGTCTTGCCCATGGTAGTAGTTGGCGTCTGACTGACTGTGGGGTGGACAGGTGTCTTTAAAGAGCTCAGACAGGTGCTACTAAGTTAGATTAATGAGTGGAGTAGAGGTGAACTTTTTAAAAAAGGCACAGTAACAGGTCTTTGAGAGCCAGAATTCTTGCTGTTTCTTAGTTGTTCAAATACTTATGTTCAGCAGTGCAAGACAAATAAATTCTTTAAAAAATCATACAATGTGATTTCCTGAATTTTTTTTTTTTAATTCTGTCTCTCAGAGTGGGAATGCACCTACAATGTGAATTTCAGACCCCTCCATGATTTCTAAGTGGGAGAACTTGCAAAATTGCAGGGTGTTCAAATACTTCTGTTCCTCACTGTATGGCCAGTTAAGATTATGTGTACAAGACTGTTGTCCGTTTACTGAATGTACCTAAAATTCCCACAGTGACTTCACCTTGGCTTACCCAATTGCAACTCTACAGGCAACATGCTCATGCTATGAATTCCAGTCAACCCCACTGGCTTATATTATATTAAAGATTAGGAGTGGGTTCCAGTGTACTGATTCTGTCACGTGTGCTCCTAAAGAGGGTTTCCTAAAACGGGTCGAGCCCACATGTGAACTGTAATTGGAATCTTTGCATGTTGTGAACCCCTATGTAGAGGGTAATTTTTAATGTTGTGTAATAGATTTTTAATGGTACATAATAAAGTTGTTTTTATGGTACTCAGTTTCTCTTTTACATGTCCATACAAAGTCCATGACTATATATTCTGTTCATAGTAGTACATCATGATATGTATTCTAATTAAGAAAAAAAGGCTGAAAGGGGCCATTTGTAAATTAAATTCAACAAAGACATTGCAAAATAATTAAAACTTCATACCTTATTCATGATTGCCAGCAACTCACTAAGCACTAGACGCAACCGGCGAGGAGAGTCACTGTGTTCAAACTCCAATGTAAGGCCATGCTGAAGTTGAGATACTAAAATACTTTCTCCAGTACTTCCCCCAAGCTTGTGTCTAGACCAAGGCAAGAAACACTTGTATGAATAAACTGCCTAAACATTAACAGGCTGTGAAGTACACAGTACATCAGAAGAAAACAAACAAAAACAGCTAAACAGATTTTTGTATGTTGTTCGAAATGTACTCACCAAGGGGCATATTTCTAAAAGATAAATGTAACGTTTGCCAAAAATTCACTGACGGTGAATCAATTACTGTCAGTGAAAGCACATGCACCAGTAAGACTCACCTGTAGTCATTGCTGAATGTCATATTGACTGCTTTATCAATATGTCCACAACTGTTTGTTATGCATTCACACACACGGGCAATAAAGAAAAGCACAAAGCGATCTCAAACTTACTGTTACTGGTTTTAAATGTTAAGGGAGCAATCTGTAGCAAGATCCAGTGACCAGGCACTGACCAGTCCAGCGCTGGATCCTAGTTGTCCTTGACCACCAACAGCTATAGAATCTTCCAATTTTAGGACTCAAACACCAGCTCTAAAGTAGTGCTGTGGACACCATATGGGCATAGCACATGTTCACTTTTAACAGTAAACTTGTGAAAAAAAAAAAAAAAAAAAAAAACCACAATGAAAATTGCTACTTTTTTAAAAATTATTTTTAGCATCAGTTGTAGACAAATGAACCATACCACAGTGTAGGTCCCATAAGCAAGCCATATTTTCATAATAGTGTTCGTACTTTTAAAAAGGAAATTTAAAGTGTTTATACTTTAAAAAATAATTCTTCTGAAAAAAAAATTTACACTTCCCTAACATATTTAGCATGAGCCCCAAATTATCAAAATAAATACTTTGGAAAAAAACAATACAACATACCTTAGTTGCTGCTCTTTGTTGGCATCCTGTTCCAAAGCATGAAAATCCACAGACAGCAGGGCCACAATGGAATTCACAGCCTCCACTCCAGATAGAAGCCGTAGAAGTAATTTCTTGTCTTGAGCCCAGCTCTGACTTTGGTCTGCCGGGGCACATAAGGCCATGCGAACCAGGCATGGAAGCAAAAGCCTCAGCTCTGGATCACTCAAGGCAGCCAAACGCACTACATCCACCTTTTGCATTGCTTCAAATGCATACGGGCTGACATACTGAAGACCAAACGTCTCACTCATTTTCTGATACCTTAAAAAAAAAAAAAAAAAATAGTTAGCCCTGAAAATATACTAAATGTTTAACGCCAATTTGAGAGAAAACACTGTTCACACTCTTGTGCTATCCATATAAACGTTTACAATTATCTTCAGATCACAGAAATGGCCAAACAAAATAAAGGCAACCTACCATGAAGGATCTGGAATGAGACGCTTAATTTTTTTTAACGGAGCTGCATAGAGTAATGTTCCCTTTTAAAGTAAATTAACCACTTGACCTCAAGAAGTTTTACCCCCCTTTATGACCAGGCCATAGTTTGCGATACGGCGCTGCATTATTTTAACTAACAATGGCACGCTCATGCAACTCTGTACATAAATTAAATTTGTGTAAAATTTTTCCCACAAATAGAGCTTCCTTTAGTGATAGTTGATCTGGCTTTTTTATTATTTTTTTTGCTCTAAAATGAAAAAAAACAGATATTTAAAAAAAAAATATATATATATTTTTTTTACTTTCTGCTAGAAAACATATCCAATAAAAAATACATATTGGCCTAAATTTATAAAGAAATGTGATTTTGCTACATATTTTTGGTTGAAAAAAATAAAAATAAACATATATTGATTGGTTTGCGCAAAGGTTATAATATCTACAAATGGTTAGCGAGACTGCAATATTGCATCGGACAGTCTGACAATAACTGATAATTTGTGGGAACTAGTGACACTAATACAGTGATCAGTGCCAAAAATATACTGTCACTATATTAATGACACTGGATGGGAAGGGGTTAAACATGTAGGGCGATCAAAAGGGTAACTGTGTGCCTAGCCAGCGTTTTTGTGTATACAATGTGTTGTTTTTACTAGGCAATCTTCTAGAGTTTATTTCCTGAATAAAACCTAGCAGATCACCGCTGACATAACACAGCTCTGCCTTGTGTACATAGGCAGAGCTGTGTTCTGTCAGTCTCCTCGGTGATCAACAGGTGCTGACGCTCATCCATTTGCCGACACCTGTTTATTGGCTTGTGCTGTGTCCAATCCCAGTGACGGAAATGCAAAATCACATTTATATACGTGATTTTACACAGAACATCTGTCCTGTAACAGTAAATCTGCTATAGGGCAAACGGCAAGTGGTTAATGCAAAAGGATTCAAAACTTTTCAGTTTGTTTTCTTTAGGGCCCATTCATACCAGATAGTGTGGGATGGATTTTTGACTGCACTCCAGTTGCATAGACAGTCCAAAATCCAGATTATCCTATGGACTTATTTTACACTATTGCAGTGGAGTACACTGAGGGAAAAAAAAAAAAAAAAAAAAGTACAGCAAGCTGCATTTTTCTGCTATTGCACAGAAATGCTCAAAAATGCATGTACATGCACAAAAATGCACCGCAACACAGTACAGAGCACACAAAAGCCCAAAGAAGTAAGAAGACAGAAGTGACCTCAAAGGAAATGCAGGCTTAGTAAAAATGCACGTTAAAAAAAAAAAAAAACACATAAAAAAACACATAAAATGTTCATCACTGGAAATGAAAAAAATGTGCAGTTTTTGGTGTAAATGGGCCTTAGAAAGCAACCACAGAGAGGGGAGTGCCAGACCTTTGCAGAGAGACTGCTGTAACTTCCACACAGGATGCTGAAAGAAGACAAGCTTTCTAAAGAAAATGACCTGTAATACTTTATACATCTTTAGTTTTGATGCACCTAATGTGTATTCAGCTGATTAGACTGCAGTTAATTTGGCTTTTAGAGCTTGTTCACACTATATGTGTTGACCTGTGTTTTTCTGTACAGGGCAACGCATGCCCAACCACTAGGACATATAGAACAATTGTTTTCTATGTGCCCTGTTCACACCACAATATTGAATTAAAGTGTGTTGCGTTAAAATGCAACGTCTGCATTTTTCCATCATACACCTCAACCCAATGGAAAGGAAGGGAAAAAAAATTAGTTTTAGGCAGTTTGACCCTTCCAGTAACTTGTAAGGTAGCCATCTTGGAGAGGAAATATGTTTTTGAGAAGGTAAGAGTGTGTTTAGGGGCAAGCAAATTATTTTGTCAGGCTGTAGATATTAAACCCTCACCTTGTAAAACAACCCATTCAGTTTAAAATAAAAAATGAAACATTTGTGTATAGGTATAAAAAACATTATAAATACTTTTCTTTTTTATAAGTGATCACATAACATCTGTTCTCAGCTACATTAGAGCTGGAGGAGAAGAAACAGCAGTACACTGATCTTCCCAGTGAAAGGCTGTGCAGGGGATGGCGGGGGAGTCATGTCAGGACAAGTCTGATCATTGGAGGAGAGCACAATGAGGAAGTTACTTACTAAATCTGGAGATTGCAAAATCTGGTGCAGCTCTGCATTGAAACCAATCAGCTTCCAGGTTTTATTGCCAAAGCTTAGTTGAACAAGCTTAAAGTGTTTCTAAAGGCTCCAGTTTTTTTAATTTCATGTACTGTATGCATGAAGGTAGGAAATCTTAAGTATGTAGCAGCCCCCCAAACACTTACCTGAGCCCCATCCTGATCCAGCAATGTCCACGAGAGCCTCGGTTCTCTGGGGAATCTCACTTTTGATTGACTGAGGCGGTCAATAAAAGCCAGTGAGCCAATCAGGAGAGGGAGAGGGCTGGGCCAAGCCGCGGCTCTGCATGTGAATGAACACGCAGACCTGCGGCTCAGAAGTGCACCTGCTCGGGTGCCCCCATAGCAAGCTACTTGCTGTGGGGGCACCTAACAGGAAGGAGGGGCCAAAAACGCCAGCGGAGAACCCGAGAAGAGGATCGGGGCTACTCTGTGCAAAACCACTGCACACAGCAAGTAAGTATGACATATTTGGTTTAAAAAAAAAAGGCTTTAGTATCACTTTAAGTTAGAATCTAACTGGTTACCATGCACAACTGCACCAGTTTTACTAAATAAACCCCTGAGTTCCCAGCACAGCTAAAGAACTGACCACGCTGTGCTGTGAGGGACAGGTAGGAATGCCAGGGATCTCACACAAAGGAAGCAATACAAAGAGAACAGGATACTTTTTCATACAAGTACATGGTACAACAGATGCATATCAGGAATATAAAAATGTTGAGTTTACATATTCTTTAATTTTGTCAGCCAGATGCAGCAGCATAAGGAGCTACATAATCAGTTTGATAAACACTAAAAAAAATATATAACTAAAAATCATAATTGACACAGATATATAAACAAGTATTCACACTCAAAAAAAATGTATACTAAAACATTCAATAAGTATGGAGTGTTGGTTATACAAAGTTATTAAATTCCCAACTCTGTTATTGTCAGTATTTCCATTCTTAGGGTTTAAATAAACATTGTCACATTTACTGTTCATTTCATAAATGAATTGTTTCCAAAACAGAACATAGAATACAACGTAATCTAAACACTTGCTAGCCATAATAGTTTCCAATGTGAATAAAAAGTGTTGCCTCCTGCTACACACCTGACAGTTGTGATACAATCTTACAGAACACAGAAATAGGACAGAAGCACCTTGTCCTTGTCAAATAGGTTTAATCCAAAAAGTAATAAAAACAAGACAGGTACGTTTGTCTTTTACTCATTTTGCGAGTATCAGTCTTGTTTTTATTACTTTTTGTAATAAACGTATTTCACGAGGACAAGGCATTTCTGTCCTATTTCTATGTCATGAGTGCAATTAATCTCCCTTGGACATGAGCTGCCTATCCTAATTTTATATTTCTTTGATATATCATGGTCGTGAGGGAGACTGTTGAAATCTGTCAGCAATGAGAGCACTGAATATAGCTGTATGTGATAATCATACATACTGAACAAGCTTTTAAATGCCTTCTCCCTTGACATAGAAGAAGCTAGAATCCCTTGTCATCCATACGGTTAATAACACACAATTCTCCAAATCCTGTACAATCTGTTAGTGTAACTGACCTGTGTATTACACGCACAAAAACAAATTACAGAATAGGGGAGAAAAATTGCTCCCAGGGGCCACATGACCAATGAGATAGGTTGGTTCTTTTATTGACATTTCTCCATTCAGTGTCCCTCTACCCGGACTTTAAGATGGGGAGTGCACACTGTCCAAGTGCCACATGATGCATTGGGACTACCAGGGGCAGACTGACCATTTGGAAACTCAGGCACTGTCCGAGGGACCGGGGTCAGTAGGGGGATCCGTGAGATTTTTTTTATTTATTTCAGGTACTTATATAGCGCTGTCAATTTACGCAGCGATTTACACATATATATATTGAACATTCACATCAGTCCCTAACCCTCAAGGGGCGTACAATCTAAGGTCCCTAACTCACATTTATACATACACATATTAGGGCCAATTTAGACAGGATCTAATTAACATACCAGCATGTCTTTGGAGTGTGGGAGGAAACCGGAGCACCCGGAGGAAACCCACGCAAGCACAGGGAGAACATGCAAACTCCATGCAGGAGGCGCCATGGTCGGGAATCGAACCCATGACCCATTTACTGCAAGGCAGACGTGCTAACCACTAAGCCACTGTGCCGCCCCTGGTACCTTTTTCATAGGCATGAGTTGTCAGTCCACCCCAGGGGACTACATGTCCCAAAATGCTTTGCACATCAGTCACACTGAGCATACATTACTTAAATATAGGCACCTTTGCAAGTATCAGAAGGACCATGGCCACACCACACGTACATTAACATAATAAAAACCCAGCCAAGAGTGTGCAACTCAGGGTGGTTCCAAGGGGATCTGAAAAGCAATGTAGCTACAGTATTCTTAGAACGTATTCACACCTTTGCAAGGCATCTTTCCCTGTGTTTGTCATGAGATACCCTATGAATGACAAATGCACTAAACAAGCTCATGTACCCTATTTTTGGCAGTGAGCCAAACATGTTTTTGGAAGGTGTATTTTTCAAATGACTGCTACAAACATTTGGGGTACCATTAAATGATAAGTTCACTTTTTAAAAAAAAAAAAATAAATACACATTTCTTGCAG